GTTAGACTTATTCCTCTGTGATTGTCACAAGAAGACTTCTGTCCTTTCTTATAGACTGGGACAATCAGTGATTGAGACCAGTCGGATGGGATTACGTCCAGTTCCCAGATTCTACCTAAGATCTCAGTCAATCTAGCTTCTAAAACTGGACCACCATCCTTAAATATCTCAGGGGTCAGTCTATCAGCACCTGCAGCTCGCCCTCGCTTCAGATTTCCTAACGCTTTCTCAACTTCATAAAGACTAGGGGGGCTTACGTCAGTTTGCAGTTCAGGATGACTGGAGATCGTGGGTAACCGAAGAGTGGCTCGATGCCAGTCGAACTGATCCCTAAAGTGTTCTGCCCATCGGTCCAGTCTCCTTGATTGAGAATGAATAATAGTCCCGTCATTTTCTGAGATAGTCTCACTTACATTCGGGTTCCTAATACCGGTTTCTTTAATAAGGCGGAAAAGTTGTCTACTGTTGCCGATCGCCGCTGCCTTTTCCATCGCTTTTGCTTTCGCCACCCACCACTGTTCGCGATCGTTACGTAGGCTTTTTATAAGTCTGCACCTAAGCTGACTTCGTTCTTCATCATGCTCAGAGCCAGGTGGGATGCGTTTTCGGGCATCCATCAGATCGGTGGATGCTACTGAGATCCACGGTTTCATTCTAGCCTTATGGTCAACCTTACTAACAGATATCACTGCTGATTCCACAGCCTTTTTGATATCATTCCATCCTGCTTCCGGATGAGAATCGCTTAAATGGTCGCCTAACTGTCTTTCTATGAGTACATCAGTTCAGATAGCCATAACACATTAGCACAGAGACACAATTGTCAATTCAAATCTCAAAGTGGTAGAGATAGTATGAGTATTAGCAGTAATTGGAGAGATTGAGGTTCGAAGATAATATTCAAGAAGTATAATTCAGTGAGAAAAGTTCAGAAAGATAAAGGTAGGTAGAGGTGTTGACAAGTCCAGAAGATTAGGATTTGAGAGAACACAAAGATTGGATGCACTGGCGCCACTGCAAACGATTTTCAGCCATCTCATTCAAGGTCCATAACCATGAGCTACTATCGTCTCGCGGACTCCCACCAGGTAGCCTACATCTGCCAACATGACTCAGTCCACTCGTCAGTGATTTCATGAATTTCTGCCATGCTTTGTTTTGGCCGACACTAGATTTCTTCCAAACTACTCCTACATCACAAAACATAGCTTGACGAGGCAGTCGGTGATTAAGCATACATAACACAGGTCCTAACCATCTCAACTGATGTAGTCTCACTACTTCATCTATTGATCTGCCAACCTTAACTGATACTCGTTTCCTAACTATATCATTGCTTACTCGATTGTCCCAGGATGTACGAACGATGATCCGAAGACATCTACAATCGAATACCAATAACCTCCGAATGTCCTCTATTCTTACCGACCATGTTTCGCATCCATATAGTAGGACCGAGTGAACTGATGGGCAGTTAGCAAACGGGTATCTCGCCTGCAGCATAGGTGACGCAAGTCGCAAAAAGCCAATCGAGCTTCATGTATCAGTGTTGAGATTTCGTCAGTCATCAGGTCATCAGCTTTGATGAGACTCCTCAGATAAGCGAAGTGGTCTATACGCCTGACTACGTCACTCCCTATCACTAGTTCAGGTGCAAAAAAAAGCTGATCCTCAAGCAACACTTCGCGTTTCGACAGTAAGACCGCATCCCGAACTTGCATGCATTGTTGCTTAAGGTAGTCAGAAGACTCTGCATTTTGTTAGCGTCTTCAAGAAATAGAACTATGTCATCGGCATATTCCAAGTCAACCAATCAATCAGCTGATAGGTCTACTCCTGAAAATTCAGACGAAGATAATGTTATATCTAGAAACATGTCTACGACAAAATTAAACAAGAATGGGGAAAGTGGACATCCCTGATGGACACCACTTGAAGTAGAGAATTCCAGTGACAGCTCGCCATAAGCTCTCACTCGACCAGTCGTGTTCGAGTAGAGAGTTTGTTTAAGGTTAATGTACTTATTTGGTACACCTTTCAATGATAGACACTGCCACAGAACCTCACGATCCACTGAGTCAAATGCCGCTTCCAGGTCCAGGAAAACAACTATTGTAGGACGCCTAAATGTGTTTCTGTGTTCCAGGACCTGTCGTAGAGTGAAAATGTGGTCCATACAACAACGTCCAGGTCGAAAACCAGCCTGGTTTTCTCTAGTCTGCTTTTCACGAACACTAGTAAGGCGTCTAAGTGTAATCGAGGCTAACAATTTAGAAACTATAATAGTTAGACTGATTCCCTTGTGATTATCATAAGAAGACTTTTGTCCTTTATTGTAAACTGGAACAATCAGGCATTGAGACCAGTCAGATGGTATAAAGCATAGTTCCCGAATTCTACCTAAGATCTCGGTCAACCTAGCTGCTAAAATTGGACCACAATTCTTAAAAATTTCAGGAGTTAGCCTATGAGGACCTGCTGCTCACGTCAGATTTCCCATAGCTTTTTCAACTTCATAAAGACTCGGAGGACTTAGATCGATTTGCCATTCAGCTTGACTGCAGATCGTGGGTAACCGAAGTGTGGCTGAAGGCCAGTTGAACTGATCCCTAAGGTATTCTGCCCATCGATCCAATCTCCTGGATTAATAAGGAATGATATAACCATCCTTTTCTGAGATAGTTTCGCTAACAGATGGATTCCTAATACCAGTTTCCTTGATAAGGCGGAAAAGTTGTCTACTGTTATCTATCGTCGCTGCCTTTTCCATCTATCTCGCTTTCGACACCAACCACTGTTTGCAGTTATTGCGTAGGCTTTTTATCAGCCTGTGCCCAAGATGACTCCGCTCTTCATCATGTCCAGAGCCAGGTAGGATGAGTCTTTGAGCATTCATCAGTTCGGTGGATGTTACTGATATTCACGGTTTCTTCCCAGCCATATGGTTTACCTTACTAGCAAAAACGCTGCTGTTTCTAGGCTTTTTGATATCATTCCAAGCTGCCTCCGGATAGGAATCGCCTACATGGTCGCCAAACTCTCTTTCTATTTGTTCCTGAAATACATTCTTAGCTATGCTATCACTAGGTAGAAGCCTAACATGTTTCCTTGCGGTGTCTTTCCTACGTCCAGTAAGCCTCAAACAAATACGCCCTCGCACTAGAGCATGGTCTGAATTTAGACATGTACCCGAGAATGAGCGACAGTCCTCTACCGAACCCTTCCATCGGTGGCTGATGTCAATGTGATCTATTTGGGTCCAGCGCTGGGACGACTTCGGGGGTTGCCAGGTCAAAAGATGCTATTCCTTATGCTTAAAATTAGTGTTTACTAGAAATAGGTGGTTATCTGAGCATAGTTGCAACAGACGGTCGCCATTGTCTGTTCTCTGAGCTGCGACACCGTAACATCCATCTAGGTGTCTTTCATTTTCACTCAGTCTATCTACTAGAGCATTAAAGTCACCAGTCATTATAACTATATCAGAGTACCTAACGTTTTGGAGGGGATCCGAAACTTTTCTGTAAAACTCATCTATAACCTCGTCTAAACTGCGTAGACAGATACGACAAACAGGCAACAGCAAGTGTCCCTATCCTTATTGTCCCGTTTAGTCGGACAGCGCACAAGCGACTATCTACAGGGATCCAGTCTAGGAGAGCTAGTTCCGCCCTACGACTCAATGCTATCCGAGGGAAACAGCTTACTACTGTCACACCCCCTACAGTCAGCAGTACAACTTCGCCCTCAGACCTTGAGTAGCTGCTTTTAGTCTCATCGTTCTCCAATCGACCTGCCTGGCATAGTATAGGCTAATATAATGCAATGTGAAAGTAACTATCAAGCTTTTAATTCATTTTATGATTATTGTACAGTATTCATTCCGTTTTAATGCAACATGATTATCTAGTGTGGTTTTTTTCGAATGACATTTAATTCACTTTAGTAAAATACGTAGAGTGTGATATGCAGCTGGAGTTGTGGTGGCAATTCATGTGTGAGAATTATAAATTAATCATCGAATATGAGAGAAATCAATATACAAACCAATGTATTCATATATCATTTTGATTTATATTCGCGGTCGCAGAAATTCTTATCATAAGTTCTTATGTTGTCGCTACGCACTGTCGAATTCGAGGTCCCAGTATAGCACCTCAAATACATAGGGTCACCTACACACAACTTTAGTTCATTAGATTTGAATATTACTTTTCGGAAAACCGCATCCATTCATAATGTGAGAAATTCGGTCAAGCAAGTTCACTACTTTCGGATGAAGTAGCAAATAACACACGAGAGATTCTGAATAAACCAGATGCAGAAAAACCATACGACGTACTAAAAACAGGCCGCAATAAAAGCCGTCTCGTTAGCTGACCAACAAGCGCTTGACCGGCTGCTCCTTGATCAAGTTCAAAGAGGATATGGAACATCGTAGTTAAAAAACTACATGGGAAGTCTATTAGGAGACAGGAAGGTAGACAGTAGTATATTTCATCAGTTGTGACTCTGTCGAATCCCTCTAAATGTACAAAAGATCCTCGCAGTTGGAGATAGCGATAAAGACATGGATAACATTGCGAAAATAACTGACAGAATATGTGAAATAACGAAACAAACGAGTTCGTAAATGCAAAAGGCCACGCTAGATGATAGAGTCGCTGCGTTTCAAAAAGAGATTACTTTACTATTTTATGCCACAAGCTGACGAAACAGAACAACGCCAAAAATGTAGTCACGAACTAGGGCGTGCAACTGAAATCGATCACGCTCTAGAAGACGCTCAGATCTCGTGATATACCGGTATCATCAGATGTACGGCAACAGAGCTTGGAAACGTAGACCACCGAGCGGATTTAAATTATTGCAGCGGGGAAACGGTTCCACTGGTTGATGGTAACGACTTTGATAGCTAGTGTTAGCTCCTAGAAACACTTGTTTATTTTACGTCTTAGTATAGTAATCACCATTTAATTTAATTCACAACACACTCACATATCTATCTTTGTTGCTTCAAATATATTACAAAAATATAATACTATTAAGCAAAAGAAACGTACAAAAGAACATATAAACAAAGAAAAAGTATTGTCTTCACTTAGATTGTCGTCCATCAAGCTTTACTCAACAAATAATATTCAAATTAAAAAATATGAGTATATAAAAATGACTAGACAGTAAAGCGACACGTGGTAGTGGCTAGTCGATCATGTGATTGGATTGAATTGTTTTATTCGCAATGTCATCTTTTCCTCATTTAGCAATAATTAAACCACTCATCATATCCATGGAATTACCATCGGGATGTAATTTATGCTGAATTCCAGTATCAATATCTTCTACTAGTAGATAACCATACTTGTCTAAACCAATAATTCGATAAGTATTCATAGTACTACTACTAATTGACTCTGGTTGATCAGTTGATTCAGTGTTATTTTCATTGAACATTGAATTGTTATTATTAAGTTGTACGAGTTGATTACTAAATGTACAAAAAAGTAAAAACAAAAATATTTTTTTACATAACTAATACAACATGGCAAAAATTACTAATCATTTCCTGATACATATTTTCTTTGTAATGCAGTCAGTAAAGATTCATGTTAGACTAACGGTTGGATATCTGACCTAGCTGCTACCTTGACGTGGTGATAGTAGGGTTGCCTATCGTGATGACTCAACCGAGTTATATTGGCTAGAACACATGTTTCCTAAGGTCCTACCACACCAAGTAGACTAGCTGGAGAACGATAAGATTGAGAGCAGCAACTTAAAGTTTGAGGGTGAAGTCTCAATATGTTGACTGTAGAGGTGTAGCAGCAGTAAGGTGTTTTTCCTTTGGACAACTAGCACCTGCAGCGATGCTACCTTCCTCTCACAAGGAAGGAAGAGCTTATAAGAAACGCAAACATATTCACACAGTGCACTGAGATTGGACATGAGAAGTATATGCATATTCAAGTACTGGCTTATACGCTGTATTCTGGACGCTGATTAATTAACTTTAGTGTTAGATATACGGTTAATTGTATAACTGACGTACTGAAATGACGTCTAGCGAGGTTGACGAGGAAGACATTTAAAGAAGTAATTTTCTAAATAAATTTTTATGTTCATCCTTTCATATCTTGAAAGATAATTTGCTAAGGCTGATCAATTTTACGTGCATTTACCACTTGACCTGATCTCACGGACCTAGGTATGTAGGTTGGTACGTCAGTCAAGGCCGTTTCGACGCATCCATAGCAAGGTGTAGTCAGTACAGGTCATTCAACCTCAGACTCATCGTTTGACATCGTTACCAAAATTAAGTCAATAATATCAAGAAGTGTACACCTCAAACAAATTTACAGTGAAGAAGTTTGCATACAAAAACAATCAATCAGATCCTTTTACATTTCCAATATTCAATAAAAATACGAGATCTAGCAAATTCCAGTATTTTTACGTCCATTTAGTGTGTGTCAGTGTTGCATAGAAGAGCGAAGTTATCAGTAGAGAGTTCCTATTAATTATTATCTAAAGCCATTTACATATGCCTTTTGTGAATACATTATACTCCAACACATCCCAACTTACCATAATATTACAACAAATGAAAAAAAAAAACCAAAAACAATCTTAGTTTTCCAATTAACTTACGTATGAATCCAGCATTTCGTGTATAAATCAAGTGCCCATTCAAGATTGTAATTTGAATTGGCACTATAAATTTTCATGATTATTCGTTCCATGTAACTTATGACAAGTGAAATTAACTTGCCAATTGAAAATGTCGGTTTCATATGACTCGGATGTGATTTGATTAATACTTGTTCTAAGCATATTGTTGGTAATTCATTGAATGCATTAATACCACAGCCTAAAATTGTGAATTGTTTGAATATGAGAAGAGAACAAACAAAAAAGAAAAAGGAGAGATTATTCTTGAAAAGTAAAAAGCGATGATGTGAAGTTATCTTAGTCTACAGAGTAGTATTAACCTGCATTACTGTTGTCCTGTCGATAAGCAATTTTTTTTAAAGTATTTTTCTATTCTTCATATTTGTGAACAGACTACCGTATACTGTTCAGGTGCTTATGCCAGATTAGGTAGTTTTCCAAGGTGGGATTTCTGCATTGGTTTGGAATCAGAATCCCCCAACTCACTTTGGTTGACGTTCGGATACATCAGTCAGTCAGTCAGTTACAACTTAGAATTTCGTACGTAAGTACATCAGTTCACGTTGCCATACTACATTAGCACAGAGACACAATTGTCAATTCAAATCTCAAAGTGGTAGAGATAGTACGAGTATTAGCAGTAATCGGAGAGATTAGGGTTCGAAGATATTATTCAAGAAGTATAATTCAGTGAGAAAAGTTCAGAAAGATAAAGGTAGAGGTGTTGACGAGTCCAGAAGATTAGGATTTGAGAGAACACAAAGAGTGGATGCATTTGCGCCATTGCAAACGATTTAGAGCCATGGCCGACCCTAGATTTCTTCCAACCTATTCCTACATCACAAAACATAGCTCGAGGCAGTCGGTGATTAAGCATACATAACACACGTCCTAACCACCTCAACTGATAGTCTCACTACTTCATCTATTGATCTGCCAACCTTAACTAATACTCATTTCCTAACTATAGCATTGCTTACTTGATTGTCCCAGAGTATACGAGCAATGATCCAAAGACATCTACAATCGAATACCAATAACCTCCGAATGTCCTCTACTCTTACCGACCATGTTTCGCATCCATATATTAGGACAGCGAACTACTGGGCAGTAAACTCGTCCTTTGGTTAGCAAACGGGTATCTCGCCTGCAGCATAGGTGACGCAAGTTGCAAAAAGCCAGTCGAGCTTCATGTATCCGTGTTGAGATTTCGTCAGTCATCAGGCCATCAGCTTTGATGAGACTCCTCAGATAAGTGAAGTGGTCTACACGCTTGACTACTGTCCTCTTGTTTCCGTGAGAAACAATCTCAACCTAAAGGCAGTAGGTGGGACTTTTATAATAAATAAAATAAAACACATGGCTTCTAGAGACTATCTTGTTAGGCAGTGCAAACTTTCCACCCCCAAATTGTACTAAGGCATTTACTGGCAGGAAGTCAACACTTGAATATGTCAACTCATCAAATTGAGTGAAAAACCGGGTATCCTAAACTAATCAGTCGCCTAGTACGCCCACAAATTTAAGAAGTGCTCAAACTCTTAAACCATGAATGTGGCCATAAAACTATGGTTATTTTCAACAAGAGAAATATCACTATATAAGCACTACAGTTTTACAACTTAATCTAAAGGGAATAATGATATTTGGTTGTCTGAACTGTAATAGGTGGAGCGGGAGCCTCGAAAATGTAACTTTACGAATGCAACCAAATTGCTTTCACTATAACAGAGTGAAAGCATCATAACAACAATTCATTACGTAGACAACACTTACCCCATTGACATGTCAAGTAGTTTAATCACTCAATAATTATTTGGTTCATTTAAACCTAGGCTTACTGTAATAGATTAGATTAGCAGACCTATTTTGTTAACACACCTCCCCTACTAAAAGCATCTAAATACTTGAAAAGTTTGAAGAAAGAATAACACAAACTACACTTTACCAATCAATAATTCCACGTGGTTTGAATTGATTGAACGACAATGAACTAATACACCAGCTAATTTTCCAATAATATTTTGTTGCAAAAGCGTTAAATTGGTGGTAAGTTGATCATTTCCACAATTATTATTATTATTAGTATTATGATCATCGACAACGTAAACATCGTTTGGCCATTTAACAAGGATTTTAGGTCCATGATATTGAAGATCCTATGGCGAAGAAGTGTGTCAAGATTGAATATAATGGGAATTAGCCATTGAAAGATTTATCAATATAAAGATAAATGATCTAGTACTCTAGTGCAGTCAATTAGCTGGCTGGTGTTAATTAGCGAAGAATTCTACCTCAACATTTCAGCTAAACATTTGAAATCATCAATCAATCATTGTTAGACCACCATTAGAAACCTGGAAGCACTGGACGGCCGTTTCGTCCTGGTATGGGTCTCATCAGCAGTGCGCATACACGACTTCTGCACCTCGCAGGATTCGAACCCGGGACCTTCGGTATTGTGCGCGAACGCCTAACCATCGGACCAACGGTGTTAATGTCTAACCCTGATTGATCTACGGATTTTGCGCGACCTCAACCATTTGTCTTTGATAGTTACTGTCTACACCCGACAGGGTTGAACTCCATTGGTTACGTCTTCTCAACTAGAACTCCGAGAATTTTCTCACGAAGCTAGTCACTAGTGAGCACTGTTACGATATTTTCGGGCAGAGTTTTGGAGGTTTGTGTTTTTACACATTTGGTGAGTCCCATACCAGGACGAAACGGCCGTCCAGTGCTCCCAGGTTTCTAATGGTGATCTAACAATGATTGATTGATGATTTCAAAAGTGTAAAAACACAAACCTCCAAAACTCTGCCCGAAAATTTCAACTAAAACCAAAATATACACCAATAAATGATTAAGTCGAAGAGAGTAATTCATCAATGAGCAAAGAAAAGATAGGGAAATAAATGCAAAGAAATATTTAATAAAGCGAAGATGTAATTGATCTGCAAAATACGATGTACTCCAACCAAACATTTCGAACAATCTGGCCACAACTATACTTACTTGTCAAAAAGCATTTTACAGAGTGAAAAAAAAAGATCAGTTAGATAAATTCCCGAATAGACACAAGCGGATATTTATAAGTGTGGCAGAAACAAAATTAAGCAAATCTACAAGCAGTAAGAAAACGTAGGAAACTGTAATACTAATCTAGGCCATAAATAGGGCTTACAGGGTAAACTCAAGGTTATAACAAACTATTTCTTTACACATGAGGAGGGGTAGTTTCAATAAACATATGTGACTAAAAAACGAAACTATTATCCATTCTTAATGATGAATGGAAGTTTTTGACGAATGTTTCATCCAATTATTAGATTAGAAAATTAGAATAGAAAGTTAACTCCAATCTAATGAAACTCCTTAGAATGATTGTTACCGGTTCTAAAACTCCCGCATTGATATAGATTAGCTGGAATTCATAAACCCAATAATCCATTAAGACCAATATATTATCCATGTGCAGTTCACCTACACATGAGCTAGCTAAATTTCTCAGTGAAATCTGTAATAAATTGTGTAAGTTTTCCCTAAATGATACATTTGAACTAACTGATGTTCTTGATGACATTAATATTAAAGAAAAGACTTTGCATTCTTTCGATGTAAACTCCCTTTTTACCAATGTGTCTCTAATGAAAACTGTTAACTTTCTTTGTGACTATAAATAGAGTAATTTTCCTCTTTTTCTTATTCGATCTACACTATTGAGAGAACTAATTTTGTTATGTACTGAAAAATTTCATTTCACAATTGTGGGTGAACATTTCCAACAAATTGGTGGGATTGTTATGGGCAGTTCTCTGAGATCTCTCTTAGCTGGCATATGTCGAAAATTTGTTGAGTGAAGTTATAAGCAATAAAGATTTCAATATCTCTCAGTTAGTGGATAATTTCAATGGTCTTCAGAATGACATTGCTCTGACCCACGAAGCAGAAAGTAATAACCAATTGCCCTCTTCACACATGCTATTGAGTCGACTGGAGAATGGAACTATAAAACGGTCAGTTTAGCAGAAAGCCAACCTGCGCTGGACAATATTTAAATTTCAGCAGTTTTTGTCCATCGCAGCGCAAACGAGGCTTCATAAAATGTCTTTTCAATAGGGCACAAACAATATGCACCACGGATACATTTGAAGACGATGCGAAATTCTTGACAGAAACATTGATTTCAAACGGTTATCCACTAAAGTTCATCAACAGGTGTAGAAATCAGTTAAGAAAAAAAAGCCTGCCTTTTGTTGTGTTGAAATAAGTAGTTAAGACAAAAGTCAGTTTTTCATTCTGCTGAGAAGAAAAAGGTTTATATTATCACTTTACCATTTAGAGGTGAAGCAAATGGTCCAGTCTTAAGACGTTGACTAAAAGCCGTCATAGAGAAAACATACAACGCTGCTAAACTGATTATAATTAAAAAGACTAAGCCCATGATTCCACATAGGCCTAGACATTGCTCGAATGATTTCATCACATCCCATTGTATTTATCAATCCACATGTTTGAGTGGACGGACATACATAGGGACGAGTAATCGGACTTCACAGTTAAGAGTTACGAGACATGTACCTAAGTGGCTTCCAAATCAGTTGATGAGCCGATAAACGTGGGAAATAAAAAACTATGTTAATCGATTGCAAAACACATAATTGGGACGGGGCATATGATTGACATCAAGACAACCTTTAAAACATTGTATAGAAACATTCAAACCTTTGTTATAACCTTGAATTCACCCTAGTAATTGAATGTGTATCTTTAGTTCTACTCTGTGTTGACAGTCTCTATACTTTTTTCTCAGTAAAGTATTGTCTCGTTTAATCTAGTTCTCAAATAATTGGTCAACCTTTGAGTAATTGAGTTTACCTGATCTAGCGTTTAGGCCAATTATCTACATCATTATTAAATGGTACAGCACCAAGTCATGATACATAAAATTGAATCACATTATTGATTGTTAAGTGCTCATACAAATTTTAATTTTCTTCTGTCATATCAAAAAACATAAGTGAAAGTAGATTAGTAAGAATAAGTAAAGATGTGTGGGGTCCATTTATCTGAGTGTTCGGATAGCTCGGTAATTAGCTCGTTCAGACAATCGTCACTAAGTAGCGTCTGACGGTTTGTAAATCAGACGGCCAATTCGAAGTAATGAATACGTTTATATTTTGGACACACCACATAGTGAAGTTGAAAAGCAGCGAAAGAATGAGCGAAGGAAGCAAACGAATAGGCGAATCGTATAGGAGAAGGCTAATGAGCCAACTCCAAGAGATAGAGCATGACTAAGAATATATAGTCAGACAAATATAAGACAGACATGCAACAAGCGAAATAGGCATACATGAATAAAAGCGACGAATGATTGACAAGGTCAAGTGACACGTCATGTGAGCTCACACAAACCAGAAAATAATAAGAACGAATGGTACATATAGGTTGTTGCTACGCAAATGGCTTGGTTAAATAGATTAATCGAAAGGGCTTAACCAAGTTAGTTGTAAGCCAACTGGAATATATGTGGAGGCACTACAAATGCATATAAATCAAACACGCCAATTCTATCAAAATTATTTAGATAAAATAAATTGGACTGAGTGACAGAGCTAATTAAAAACGTATAGAAAAGAAAACTTATCAGATCAGAATGTCAGAAAATTTAATACTCAGAAAAGAGTTATTCGTTTGCATAGAATAAACTCAACAATGAGTAAATAAGTAAGCACGTCAGTTAAGATTCTGCTGATGTGACTCTACATTTTACTAATCATGCATTATGCACTACTGGGAATAGAATTTCAACAACCGGACCAACAATATTGACGTAACGATTCAAGTAAACGAAGTGATCAGTGTCATTCACAGCTTCCCTTACTACTCTCAATTTAGATACGTGGTGAAGTTTTGCAGTGTCTATTTGGACTGGAGGAAATCCTCACACCACAACGAATATTAAACTCTTTCTTAGAAGCAAAATATTGTGGTTGGTGCCTAGGAAACCTCATGAAGAATCAAAATTATGTTTGAAATATAATACCAAGGATAATGATCAATTCGTTTCTATAAGCAATTTTTTAAGTAACTATATATAGATTTGTGAACTCAACTTTAAGGATTAGAGATGAAAGCCAAAACTAGAGAGAAGGAACGATTTTGAACCAGTAATCCAATTGGTGGAAATCAGCCAAATATTTGATTCTTGATAACCTATTCTATTTAAACCCGGTGAATTAAAAAACATCAACAACTCACAAAACTGCTTTTCTGATAGAAAGATCAAGATAGATAGGTAGACAAATAATGATTTTGCTGAAAAACTTTCAAACTATTAAAAAACAACTTACAACAAGAAATTCTTCACTGATATCAGAAAAATCAGTTCCACTCGTAATGATGTTCAAATGTTCTGCAATTAAATGCCTACAACCCAAAACTATACTCAGCGCAACAATATGCTGTATACAGCTAACACCATTCATAAACATTTGGCTATTACAAGTGGATAATGTTACATGGAATGTAAATGCAGCTTGACCAACGGGACTAATCCATTTATTCTCTCCTCGACCTAATTTATGTAGGAAAATATAACAGATGGTATTCATCATAAGATAGTAAACTTTTGGAGATCATATATGAAACATACTGACATAGGAAAACCATCAGAAATGAGGTGGCACAAGATGACATTACTAACCGAGTTTGTGACTTCATAATGATGGGCACTTAAGACCGAATTTAAGATACATAGACTTTTATGTCTATTTCTACAACCCGATGCTGATCTAGTGGTTCTGACGGTCAAATATTCTACGAGACCTGAAGGTCCTGAATTAGATCTCTAAAGGGGTCATGAGTACATAATGACAAGTCCAATACTAGGATGGAACAGCAGCGCAATGCCTTCTGAATCAGTGCCTTAATAAATAAAGCATTCAGCTAACAGTAAAATCTATGGTGCAGGTTTCGTCTTTTCCGAGACTCGTCAACTGAATGAATCTGCATTCTAATACTGACGCCAACATAGAGACTAGAATATAGTGACAAACAGGACGAAATGCGCCTCCTGGATTCATCTGATCCGTATAACTTGCAACAAAATGATTATGTGGAGGCAATCCTTACAGGACGCATAGATAACAACAAAGACTAATCAAAATTCAGTCTAAAATATCAGCAACAAGATAATTCAAACCCCTCGCAATAATGACAGAAACAATATATTTAAGTGGCTTCAGACAGATTACCGCCGAAAACCTGGAAGCACTAGAGGGCTATTATGTGCAAGTATGCGACTCATCACCAGTGCGGATTTAAATATATTTGATTCATATGTTAATTTTATTTACTCGCTGACTATTCACCGGAAACGGATACATTTTTAAACGACTTATTGGCCAGTTTATACAGTTTACAACCAGTAGGTTACAGTCACTGACTAACTTATAGCTGCTTTCGTATAAGGGGAGTCAGGTATTATTGTTGAGGTCTGAGAGATTATTGATGGGAAATCTGGGTGATGTAGTTCAGAATTAAAGTTCAGATTCGTAGGATTTTAGCTTTTAAAACTATCGTCTGCTTTTTATCATATGAATTTATTCTTTTTTCTAGGGCCACATAGACTAATTTATTTATTAATACGACTGATATTGTTATTATATTTGTTATCCTAGGATCTACCTTGATAGTCCCACTATACTTTGCTAACATGTGGGAAGTTGAACCGATGCACATACGTCCTAGATTCTATTTTGAATGTGACTGACTGAGACAGTATCGAAACTATGAACTATGAAGAACCTGGAAACACTGGACAGCCATTTTTTCCTAGTGTTGGACACCTCAATAGTCGACAATCACGAACTCCAATCACTGATTATTGGTTATATGATCTCAGTGACAATCAACAATTTCCACAACCCCATACCGGGGTGATAACGTTAAATACTGTATGCACTTGAAGTATCCAGTTTTAATGAATAAATATTCAAAAAACATTAGGAAGTTATGTATAACTGCACGATAATACACTGTTTACCTTTCCCTTTAGTTTGAATATCTGAACATACCAATAGACCAGAATTTGGATGGATTTGTTCAAAGAATCTACAATACAAGATATATGTGAAGAAATACTTGAAGCACGATTGAACTGAACCGAGAAAATTTATTAGATAAACAAATACCATAACAACAGAATGAGAATATCTTGATAGAACAATGAGAAGTTGATCTGAAAAATGTGATGTATTTGCGCCATACATTTCACACAATCTGGTCACACATACACTTGTTAAGGTATTTTATATGAAAATTAATATAGGTTAATTAAATAAAGTTCATATGAGGTGATAAGTGAAAATAAAGGAAAGAGAAAATCAATATAGTATTGAAAGAATATGAAATTGTCGCATTCCCCTTAGGCCATAAAATGGTTTAAAGATTACCAGGGTAAATCCAAGGTTATAAAAAATTGTTTCTGTACACAAAAGGGGGGTTTTAATTTATGAAAAACATAACATTCTGACATAGACTTCAGAATTGAACGTTTCTATACAATTTTTAAGGGCCATCTTGATATCAATCTTATGCCTCGTTAATCATAAATAGTGACAAATTTTTGTTAGTGTAAGGACGAAGTGAAAGTTGTACTGTTAGAGATGACGTAGTGATTAAAATACATGAATTTTCGAAAGTCTGATGGTAGATTCCAATCATCTTCTACCTACTTCAGTTTAGATAACCAGGTAATATCAATTAATTATCGAGAAAAAGTCTGATTTGAAAATGAGCAAACAAACTTACTTAGTTGTACTACTTTTTACATTATAAAAACGAAGCAAATAATACATCGACATAGTTTTCCACGTTTTTGAATATATTATAGGATTCATTGTAGAAGTGATATGCTCGTCAATTGATATGCTTGAACTATTACGAGTACAACTTACTGGGTAAACGGAGCGAAGACAAATAATGCAACGACACAATAGGTTATTCTAATCTGTTTGTCCCTGGCCAGGTTAACTATATCAAGAAGTCTTGATAAGGCGTAGAAAGTGTATTCTACAAGCACCCGGGAAATACGAGATCGACAAGCACATAAATCGAGCTTATTTATACATGGTAGAAACGTCCTAGGGAGTGCAGCAAAGATAGCGTACTAAAATAATACATCCAAGGATTTTCCGAGTAGGAAATGTAATCTCAAGGTAAACCAAGCAACTTATACGCGAAAACATAAAGAATCCAAAATTAGGACATTTATCAAGTGAGTTCTGGGTATCTAACGTCCCCAACAAGAAGCGTGTAAAAATGGAATATTAGGCCATCATCATGATCTATATGAAGCAGAAGTTTGTTAAGCAATTAATGTGTGGAGAGTAGGAGTAATAACAGCCACAGACTACTCCGTCACCATAATCAAGGAAAGTTTGTCAAAATATTCAGTAATGGATGTCAGCGTTAGTCTCTAGTTCTTGTTTAGGTGGAGGAATTTTGTTTGTTGTACTGTACTTAAAGTTTACTGAACTATTTAGGTAATTCATAAATCGTACTAATTTATAGAGATATGTAAGAACATTCTTTGTTTGAGTTAGTCATCAGTGTGTCATTATGCAACGAACGAAACTGTCCGTAAATAGATCCACTTTCTTAATCAATGATCCTACCCAGTTATGTAGAGGTTTTCACACCTTCCAAAGCTTCTTCACGAAGTGTGTTGTTGATTCATGTTATGTTGTATCGGAGGATCTTACTTTTGCCTTCGTTTATGTTGAGAACTATTTCTGCTGCAGTGGCCGTCTTCTCCTAAATTTTTTGTTGCGTGTGGTGGTAAAGGGCTAGCTCATCTGTGAAATTCAGATCGTCCAGCTGTATTCGAGTTTTCCACTGTATTCTAAACTTAATTTGTTTGCCAAAATTTAGAATTTCACGCAAGTCTGAATATTTTACAAAATAATGTAAGTTCAATGAATCATGTCATGTGATGAACGTTGACTGTGATGTCAATTTAGCCACCCACATACCATTATGTTACAACAAATTTCAAGTGAACAGCGCTTACCATCGACAATCTCAGGTCCTCAAACAGAATTCAGGGACATCAATACCATTATTTTAGAACTATATTAAATGATAACTTAAACTGATAAGTAGGTAAGGGAAGACGTAAGGCCAAGTTACTATGTAATTATTGAGTAGTGTTCATCACAATGTAAACATAATAAATTTCATTTCAGCATGAGCTTACTTAACAGTTTACAATGAGAATTTTATTGCCTTGTCAAAGTAATTTAGAATAAGTAGTTGTAAAAATCAAATTACGTAGAGAAAGTAGGTGGAAAATAGTGTTGTCTGTTGACATATACACTGAACAGTTAAGTTTCATTAATGCTGTATTTAATATTGCAAATGAGCGTAATTCTTCAGAGAATGTGTATTGTTCTCGCTCTCTCGCAATCGTCCAACGGATGGATGCTTGAAACATCTTTCGCTGACTATGCATTTCATGTTAACTGTTTTAAAACGGTATTTTTATCAATTACTTATTCTTAAAAACGGTAACGCTTAATTGCTAAAAGTCGTCACTGCTTACAACTTAGAAAGTAAATATTAAGAGCTATTGCAGATGTATTTTAACAACATTACGTGTGTTATTTATTTTTATTTTTATCAATAATTTTCCACGCAGATCATAAAAAAAAACACCTCATGAAAGCATCACGATGCACAAGTACAAACCGTTAAATGCATAATAGTGATCTGATGAGTTCAAACCCCGATTCTGTTAGCTTCTGAGTCAGGTTAAAAAAATCGCATTCACGGTTGTAGTGTACGTCCCTAATGCCCATCTATTTCCTTGGAATATATAAACGCTTAACGACTGAACTTTGATGAAGCGCTCTGGACGAAATGGTCTTACAAGATTATTACACATACTTCCTTCTTTGCAGACGGTTGAGATTTCTCATTGCAGCTTTCCGACCACTTCTACAACATACAAACTTCATATACGGTTTGTGATTCCGATGGAGCTGGGAATCATGAATAACAAAATGGCGAAACGTTGATAGCTCGAATTTTCGAACTCCATTCTTGAGCGCTATGAGTGATAGAAACGCTTTCAGAAACAGCATGCTTAGAAATGAATCACCTGTGATTGTAACCACGTTCGCATTTGAATTCGAAATAGCAGTAACGTGATAATTCAAGACAATTGTTTTCAAAAATTTTCGTCATCGCATAAATTATACACTTATAGGAGGGACTGGACACATAATAATCAGTAAGATCATTTTTAGAGCTATCGATATTATTGGATGACAGGTTTATAGAACGAACGGGAGGAAATGTGAAAAAATGTTCGTATATGTGTATGTGTGGGTGGGGCTGAGAATACTAAATTTAAACCACAGTGGGTTCAATGTTGTTCCGATTTAACCGACTACACAATTTTGACATGTGTTTGGCATTATTTATAAACTCAAGAAATCATTTAACTGTTTTGGATCATTCTGAAAACTCGTAACTAATATGTAAGTGAAGCTAACATACATTCTGCATATATACATATTTGACACATCTGAGATGGATGAATTCTAATGGTGTAACAGTTTATCACAAGACTTCCGATAATCAAACCAATCAAACCTAGTGAGCATACAATTATTATTATTAATATGGTATATTAGTGTGAACTGTTTGATTTCACAGTTTAAATAACGTATTGAATCTAAGCAATCAGTGAAACTAGGGACAGATAAAAAAAAAACTTACTGATGACAGAAATCCCAACTAGATTCCATTGAATTAGACCAAATAATTAATTTACCTAAATGTTCCGTATGAAGATTTGCAAAATAATCTGTCCATTTAAAGCCTAATGGAAGATCAGATAGAGTAGAACAATAAGAAATCTCTTTTGTGCATTCTTTCGTTGAACATTCTTTTATGATAAAATCAACAGTCTTCTGAAATCAAAATATAAACAAATTGTTAGAACCAAGATATTATACATTGAGAATATGATGAAAAGAAAGAAAAATCAAATTAGTTATTTCAGTAGTATCAGATAAATGTCAATTATTATTAAAATAACACTTCAGTGTACTTGTTATGTGGGATTGTTTTTAGTGGATAGACATTTATTTTATTATGAGCAATACTAGAATGAAGCGTGTATATTTGACTGATGAGTTCCAAGTAGCAACGAAACATCTGTCTAGGTTTACGCCGTGACTCATAATCTATTCATTTTAAACACAATGAATTGTACACCGAGTAATGAGAGATATGTTTGAGTTCTATTTAAAATTATAACAATCAATAGGATGAAGATATAACTATCAATGTTAAATGTATGTTATAATCTCTAGCTCCTAACAAGAATATACCAATCATTATACGTGTGTTTTAAATAATATGTACATTGAAATATACAGAAAACAAAGCACTTCAACATCGAATAAACAAGAAACAATTTAACAAAGTAAGATTAAATCTAACCTTTCTCTCAGAGTCTGGTGTGTAACAATATAAAGTTTCCCAATTAGATAAATGAACTGAAGATAAGGTATCGGATAGTAGTAGTTGATGATGTGTATTGTTCTCCAGATTAACACATGGTATTCCAAGAAGGTTTAAAGCTTTTTCCAAATGTGTTGTTCCAGTTTCCAAACAATCAATCTACCTTAGAAATATACATATATATATATATATATATATATATATATATATATCATAAATGTTTATTTTTAACATTAGAAAATCAACTTGTATCTTGCTAGTCTTTGATACGTGATACTAACGCTCCTAACACTTGGTTAAAAAACTATTATGTAGAATGAGATTAAGCAAAACGTTTAATTGTCTTAGATTAGAATAATGGCTTACCACTTATATGAATTAATCAACTAATCAAGAAAAAAATAATATGGAGGATGATATTGGGAAAGTAAATAATCGTCCCATAACGCCTTATTCTTAATAACATATCTCAAGTAGCATGTAGACTTGTAACGTGTGAACTTGTCTGGTATCACAATTCAACCATAACACGCTATTTTGTCAAGTGATATACTTTCCAAAAGTTAAGTAACCACTAGATGACTTGAAAAATATAAAAATCAGAATTCAATTAACTTACACTGAGAACAGCAATTGATGGTTGGTTATTTTCAACTTCATTCTCACTGTCCAGATGATCATATCGACCAATCAGAATTGAATTTTTATACATCCATTTCCAATATGAATTATTATTTTTCAAAAGACTATCAGAGTGATTTGAAAATAAAGCATAATGAGCAAGACTATTTGAAGGGAAATTATTCAGACCGTTTGTATTTAAAAATAATAAAACACGTCCACCTTTGGCAATGTATTCAGTGATCTATTAAGAAACGAACAAAAAACATTGAATGGTTAGTATTTTGCTGAAGTAGGATCATGAGAAATAAAAGTATTTCTTTTGTATGGTCTTAGATTGTTATAAGTAATAAACATAATGAACCAGAAGAACTGGCAGTTGAAGTGTTCTTTACTAGCGGCCACTCATCCAGACACCAATCAGCTTGATGTTCACATAGCTGGTAATAAATTTCTTTGACAGCTCTGTGGGTGGGTTGCCACATTTCTTGGAGTTTACTTTACGCGTTTAGCATAATATTTCCTTTTTACACTTTACTATTCCACGAATTATTGTTTACTTCTCGAATCATATCGTCTAGGTCTACTCTTTTCTCTATGACCACTCATTCGATTACCACCTTCATTATTCTGGAATCTGATTGTTGTATAGTAGATTGGACCGATGAAATCTCTTAGGATATCATCCCTAGCATGCATCTTCAACATCAGGATCAGTGTTATATCCCTATATTTGCATTGTACCCTAGATATCTTTATGCTTTTTTTTTATCACAAAATCTTTATTGTTCTTTGTATTGCCCATTCTGTATTCTATGTTATACATACAATGTTAGTTTTCAAGGTCTTACTGGTAAGTTAAAGCTGGGGAAGCTCACGCATATTAAGCGAAATAGTCATTACCAAACTCAATGTGCGATAATTGCGTTATATTTCAACCTCACTGGATGTAATAATGTGGATCACTAGGTTGTAATGCAATGGTGGGAGAATCAAGCACTGGCAAAGACATCTCAGGGTTCCGAGTTTGACCGCTGTGGGGTTTCAGGCGCAAACTGCTGAGTAATCCCACAACAGAATAAAACAGTGGTTCAGGACTCTCCGGTATTTAGTACTACTGTAGTGTATTAAATATAACGGAGCTTATTAGTATGGAGTACATGTGCAGCACTGTTGCCCTGAATCTGCGACCGAAGTCAAAAGTATCAACTACGGATTTATGGCGCGATCTGCGTGTTTTGAGGAATAGAAGACAGTTGAGAATAAAATTGTTTTGCGAACGGATGTTTAATGTTGTGGTGTACACTTTCGGCAAGTAGATTGTATCTTCCCACCTGATTTCACATCCCTTAAAGTGTTCTACCAACGTGTTTCGCTTCTGTTTAATGTTGTTGATTACTTCGCCTTCTTTGCTTTTCACTGGTCGTTTTGGTTTACGATAGTTTCCAGTGAGCTTCTTTGTTGTATCGTACAATAGTCTCAAGTTTCCTTCTCTTGCAGCCTTTTCCGCCGTCATTGCTAGATCTTCCACATATTTTCGTTTGTCGCCTCTGATGCTCTTCTTCACTCGCCTGTTTGCTTCTGTGTATTAAGCTTGTGCCTTAACTTTCTCTGCTCCTGTTCGGCTGACGTTGATTGCTGCCTTCTTGTTCCTCCTTTCCAACTCCCAGGGCAGAGTTAAAATGGTTTTTTTTCTGGTTAGAGTTTTTTAGCGAGTTAGTTTTTTGGTAGGATGGGGTCGCCAACCCTATGCCCAACCCTCCTCCTTTACCCGGGCTTGGGACTGGTATTAGCCCCGAAGGGTTAGATAATTAAAGGATCATCTCTAAAAGCATGTCAATGATAAAGTTAAGTAAGTAAAGTGAACAACCCTGAAGAACACCATTTCAAGTAATCAGTTTCGATGAACGTTCGCCGTATAATCAGTAGTAAGCGAGTAGAGAGCATTTATGAACTAGCTGTACTTCTTTAATACACCTTTCTAAGGCAGACACTGGCACAGAACCTCATGATCCACGTAGTCAAGTGTCGCCTCAAGGTCAATAACTACAACTGTTGTCGGACGCCTAATTATGTGTCCATCTTCTTGGACCTACTGGAGCGTGAATATTTGGTCACTGAATCCACATCTAGGTCCGGAACCATCCTGATTTTCTGTCGATGTCACATATTTCAAGGTTGTTTCTTATTCGACCTAACTGTATAAACATGCATTATCTGTTAAGTTTATTATTCCTTCATTCCTTCTGTACTCAACCCCATAAACAACATCTAACGGTGTTGTGTTCTGATATGTTGTGGATTTGGGAACAGTATTTGGGGTCTTACTGCAATATCTGAATTTTTTCAATCGGTAGGATCTCGAATAGCTACGTAGCGCATTATACTAATAGCATAGATAAGAATATATTTCGGGGGCAACTAGAAAAACAGTTAGGCGGCAATGTAAGTGATCCCCATCCGGAGGCAGCTTGGAATGATATCAAAAAGGTGTGGAAACAGCTGTGATACCTGCCATTAAAGTAAACCTAAAGGCTAGGAAGAAGCCATGGATCTCATTGGCATCCATCGAACTGATAGACGCTCGTAAACTCATCCCACATGACTCTGAACATGATGAAGAGCGTAGTCAGCTTAAGCGCAGGTTCTTTAAAAGCCTAAACAATGATCGCAAACAATGGTGAGTGGTGGAAGCAATAGAGATAGAAAAGGCAGCGGCGATAGGTAACAGCAGACAGTTGTTCCGACTTATCAAGGAAACCGGTATTAGGAATCCATCTGTTAGCGAAACTATCTCAGAAAAGGATGATCTTATGACTCATTCTCAATTTAGGAGACTGGATCGATGGGCAGAACACTTTAGGGACCCCAGAGGTTTTTACAGACGGTGGTCCATTTTTAACAGATACATTGACTGAGATCTTAGGTAGAATCTGGGAACTGGACGTAATCCCATCTGACTGGTTTCAGTCGCTAATTGTCCCAATTGACAAGAAAGGACAAAAGTTCTCTTGTGACAATCACAGGGGAATCAGTCCAACTAATATAGTTTCTAAATTGTTAGCCTCGATTATCCTTAGACGCCTAACTAGAGCTCGTAAAGAGCAGACTCCAGAAAACCAGGCTGGACTCAGACCTGGACGTGGAATAACCTTATCCTCGTCTGAATTTTCAGTAGAGATTTTACCGGGAGGCTCGCTTATCGACTTAGCATATGCCGATGACATAGTCCTAATTGGTGGAGACACTGACAAAATGCAGTCTTCTGACCACCCTAAGCAACAACGCAAGCAACTTCGAGATGCGGTCTCCCCGTCGAAACGCAAAATGTTGTTTGAGAATTGGCTTGTATCTGCACCTGAACTAGTGATAAGGAGTGAAGTAGTCAAGCGTGTAGACTACTTCACTTATCTGAGTCTCATCAAAACTGATGGCCTGATGACTGACGAAATCTCAACACGGATATAGAAAGCTCGATTGGCTTTTTGCAACTTGCGTCACCTATGCTGCAGGCGAGATACCCGTTCGCTAACCAAAGGATGAGTGTACTGCGCAGCAGTTCGCTGTCCTAATATATGGATGCGAAACATGGTCGGTAAGAGTAGAGGACATTGGGAGGTTATTGGTATTCGATTGTAGATGTCTTCGGATAATTGCTCGTATATCCTGGGACAATCGAGTAAGCAATGATATAGTTAGGAAACGAGTACTAGGTAAGGATGGCAGATCAATAGATGAAGTAGTGAGACTTCATCAGTTGAGGTGGTTAGGACGTGTGTTATGTATGCTTAACCACCGACTGTCTCGTCGAGCTATGTTTTGTGAGGTAGGAGTAGGTTGGAAGAAATCTAGGGTCGACCAAACCAAAACATGGCAGAAATCCATGAAGTCAGTGACAAGTAGACTGAGTCATGTCGGTAGGTGTCGACTACCCGGTTGGGGACCGCGAGATGATAATAATCGATGGTTAGAGACCCTGAATGACACAGCTAAGAGTTATTAAGAATGTGACCAATTTGGTCTCGTATGTTGTTACGGGTGTGAGGGCGGATGTCACTTCCTGGGTGCCCGCGTCTTAGAATGATATTTCTTAAAACCTGAAAAGGAAGTTGGCTGGTGTTGGTCTTAGCGACCTAGGAGCGTGACCACAGAGCCCAAGGGACAACTGCTTAGGGCCGATCACGCACGACCATTTTAGTTATTAGCGTGTAAGTCCCGCTCTTGAAAAGGCCTTACCCCTGGAGACGGGAATTGGTGGGGTAAGCTTAAGTATGACATTTTCAAAGTCAACCTTTTCTAACCCATTACTTTCGTTTTGACATGGCAGCATTGCTTGAGATGTTGGTTGTCCGAGGGAAACACGTTACTTTCGACACACCCCTACAGCCAGGAATATGACTTCGCTAACAGACCTTAGGCTGCTACTTTTAGTCTTACTGTTCTGAAAACTACCTGCCTGGAATGGTAGGACCTAAATGAACATGTATTCTAGCCAATTTAAATCAGTTGGGTCATCACGATTGGCAAGTCCTACCACCACATCAAGACCCGACCGAAGCTGCTACCTTGACGTGGTGGTCGAGCTTGCCTATCGTGATGACCCAACCGAGCTATACTGGCTGGAACATATGTTCCTGAAGGTTCTACCATGACAGGCTGGTCGATTGGAGAACGATGAGACCAAAAGCAGCTACTCAAGGTCTGAGGGCGAAGTCGTACTGCTGACTGCAGAGGGGTGTGACAGCAGTAAGGTGTTTCCCTCGAACGACTAGCACCTGCAGCGATGCTGCCTTCTCACAAGGAAGGAAGGGTTAGAAAAGGTCGACCCTAAAAATGTCAAACCTCACCCTGCCTCAAGGATTTCCGTCTCCGTCGGTAAGGGTGTCCACTAAGGGCTTTCAAGAACGGAGCTAACACTCAAAAAACTTCTCATAAAAAGGCCGTGTGTGACCGGCCTCGAGCAGTTGTCCCTTGGGCTCTGCGGTCACGCTTCCAGGTCGTTAAGACCAACACTAATCTATCTTCCTTTTCAGGTCCCTCAAGAAACAACCTTCCACGGTGTGGGCAGCCAGGAAGTGATAACCGCCCTCATACCCTTAACCACATCAAGATAGCGGATAAATTGTAGGTAAACAGAGAAATTCCAAGGAGTCTTAATAGGTGAATATCAGAGGAAAAAGAGTTGTTCAGCCAATGTAGGATTTCAGGCATTTGATAGGTTATGAAACTTTTGTCATACGGACTAGATATGAGCGATATAGCTAAAATCATTGTATTATGCAGGGTGGTGGACTTGTTGATAAGTTAAAGATTGAAATAAAACAACCGCCTGGCATATCATCCGTGGCAATTTATAACAAACACAGAAACAACTAGACCCAATCCTAATACAAGAGTTTAGTAATGATAGTCATAGCTGACTAATAATACGAAACCACGTCTTAGTGAGTTTTTATACACATAGGAAAGCCTCCGAGGATAAGGAAAGACAGTAGTTTGAAAGCAAATTTACACTTACAGTTGTGAGGTCCTTTTGAAAGTCTGATAAGTGAGGTACATGCTCACTAAATAACGAAGATTCAAGAACCACTAGCAACTTTCCAGAGGTAACCCATAATTCAGCCGAAAATTGCTTTCTCGGAAGAGGATACAGCAAAGCAGTATTTGGCATAATTATATCTTGGACATTTTTTATCAATTTTTGATAAACAGCAGAAACAGGAGTGGAAAGAACGCCTCCAGGTGACAAAACATAATATATGTTAATTAAACTTATGCGATTGGTCACAGGTAAAGATGGCTTTTTAAGAACATTAAGTTGTTTAGAGAACTTTGATAAACAAAGAGTACTCCAAGTATTGGTCATCTAAATCTAAAATATAAATTATTTCCAAGACAGTTAGAGAATTTTGAAGAATGTGGTAGATTCATAAGCATATGGACAGTTTTAGAGTATGACTTGATCGTCGAGTACCGATAAAGTATATCAAATTCCCCCTACACATGGTAAAGAGAGACATGAGACAAAAAAATGCAACTTGGTACTAATGATGCACTTAAGGTAAAGGGTAAAGGTGAACATTGAAAACATGGACTAACTTGAGAGAACGTCATACATGTCACCCGGTGTTTACTGTCAAACTAGGGTATTGTCAAGAAGTAAATAAGGATGTAAGCATTCTACTATATTACTAGTTAATGCAGTAAATCTATTAACATAAATTGCATCCATGCATTTATTTATGAATAAATTAATTCAGCTACTGCTTAGTTCAGTTTAGTTGGATTGATTTATTAACCAGATAGGTTATTCACAAATGATTCAGTGTGAGCAAATACAAATAGGATTAACAGAAGACATCCAAAAAACCGTCATTCAAAAAGAATGAACGTATAGTCCAAATATAAAACTGGTGGTGTACAACCTCTAATACATTAGACTACTACACCGCTATACCTTAAACTTTGCACATAATACCTTGACCTTCGGCAGACAACACATCCAATATCCAATATATTTTTCATGAGCTAGTATAAAGCAATTTGATTTCTTCGCTCGATTCTTGTTCTTTCAGTACGGTTCCAGGTGTTCGGTAATGTCCAATGGATGGAGGTCTAGCCACTCGACTGTCTAATTCTAGTCAGTTGGCAGTTGTTTGTGAGTTTGTATGTCTCGGGATTTGAATGAAACGTTTGTTTCAGGGCAGTAGGGTTTTTGGATACTAGCAGCCGTCACATTACCAGACCGGAGATCAGTTAGCTGCAGTGTGGGGAGTAATAAGGGTAATAAGGATGAAATACTAATGATAATATGAATAAAATTTCAGAACTGAGTAATATATAGGTGAGAGAGGACCGAAGTGTAAGCAAGGGAAGAGGAAACAGAGATAATAAGCGAGATAGATGAATTGAGTGATCTGAGGAGATGGCAATGATAACAACTAGCAGGTCTCAAGATATTCATCAGGCACAGCTTGTTCAAGAGGGAGATGGTAGTCCGTATGTGAGTACGTGATTATCAAGTCTCTTCTTAAAGCAGTCCACTGAGGGGGCTGTAACTACCTCGGTTGGGAGAGCATTCCAAGTTGCGACGACTCGCAATGAGAAAAAGTGTGCACGAACCTGAGTGTTTGCTCTTTGATGTGCAATCTTTTGAGGATTGCCTCGAGGGGAGTGGTGGTGATGCATCGGTAAGATGCTCACATTGGGATGGTTTTGGGTGTTTAATATAGTGTACGCCATAACCAGATGGTCTCTGATTCTCCTGTAACTCAGTGGAAATAATCCCATGAGCTGGAGTCTATCGTCGAGGGGTTTATATTTCAACCATATCACCCATTTGGTTGCTCGTCTTTGCACTCGATCCAAGAGATTTATGTCTCTTTTAAGCAGAGGGGGTGCGATGACGTTGTGAACTTCCAAGTGTGGGCGTGCGTACGTCTTAAACAGGGTTAAAAATAATTTCGGGGTGATAGCACCAAGCTGTCTTTGCATAAAGTAAAGAGTCGCATTTGCCTTGGCTGCATCCCCTACATAGTTCGGACTGGTGTGGAGGCTTTCTGTGGTTATTAAACCAAGATCGCGCTCTGAGGAGACATTAGGGAGCGGACTCCCATTGAGAGTATAGGTCATTTGCGTCATATGAGGCAGGAAATGCATGACGTGAGACTTCGGTTGGTTGAGTTTTAAACCGATTTTCACTGCCCATTTCTCAATAGATGTAAGATACTTTTGAAGCTCAGTCGAATCCTCTTCGCTTCTAATGGACCTCCAGATCTTCGCATCGTCTGCGTAGATCAATGCCGGTGAGCTAACTGAGCCTAGCAGGTCGTTAATGAATATCATGAAGAGAAGTGGGCCTAGGATGATCTCCTGTGAAACTACCGATGTAGACACTCTCCAACTCGCGTGCACCCTGTTTACCTTGTTGCGAAACTTTCTATTCTCAAGGTAGTTTCTGAGCCAAGATAGGAGTGGGTCATTGAAGCCCATTTCCACAACCTTTTCGATTAGGCGTGCATGGGGGACTGTGTCAAAGGCCTTTACAAAGTCTAGAAATACTACGTGCACTGGTATTTTACGGTCCAAGCAGGATGTCCAACTGTCCCATGCGATGAGAAGATTAGATGCACACGACCTGCCTTTCCGAAACCCGTGTTGAGCTTCATAGAGTATTTTATTCTTATCCATGTACTCCCTCATTTGTTCGTCCACTAGTCCTTCCGCAACCTTTGATAATATAGGTAGTAGTCCGACTAGTCTGTAACAGGCTCGGTCCTTTCTATCTCCTCCTTTGAAGATTGGAGAGAGAGTAGCTTGTTTCCATTCAGTTGGGAATTGGTGTGACTCCAGTGAATGCCTCAACAGGTTGCATAACGGTGAACAGAGGACTTCAGCACACTGTCGCAAGACTATAGGGCGGATTTTTTCACAACCTGGTGACTTACCTGGGCGTAAGGATTTTAGTTTCCTTAATACTAGGTCAGGAGTGATACGGATGTCCCCTGAGTCGTCAGCTGGCATCGGGTTGGCGTAATACTCTGAACATTTAGGCGCCTGGTTTAATTGATCAGAAAAGGTGGTGTTGAAGATCTCGGCCATCTCTAGGTTGGTGAGGTCTTCCCCGCTTGGCCCTTTTAGGGAACACAACCCTTGATTAGTAGGTCTTCTTGTCGTCATGAACCTAAACAGATGTTTCGGGTTTGCCTCTATTCTGGCGGCTAGCTTCGTCTGGAATTGTCTCCTGTCGCTTCGAACTTCGGTATTGCATCTGTTTCTCAATGACAAGAAAGAACTGCGATCGGAATCCTTCGAAGAGACCTTCCACTTGTGTCAGGCTTTCCTCTTCGCCAGTAGCAAGCGTTCAGTGCCGCGCCTAACCTAGGTTCTTCTGTTCTGGCGTTTTTGGTGTGACCGAGGTACATTGTCTACGACAGCGTTTTGGATGATATCTCTCACTGCTTGCCAGCGATCATCTACTGTCAGCCTCCACCACTCCCGTGGCCATGGGGCATGTAGTGGGACCTCTATCATGCGTATATAATTTGCCCTATTGTTGCAAAGGTAAGGCTCGTTATCGTCCCGTGTGAGAGTTTCGTTTATGACCATGTTACACAAGACTGTGCCATGGTCGCTACTGCCTATTGGAGCGCGGATGTGAACATCCTCAACCACGAGCTGGTCGCTCGTTAACGGATAATCCAGGTTTGAGGACTGCCCTTCCTTAGTCCACCTAGTGGCACTGCATACGTGCTCAGTCAACCCAGAGCTTCTAATGGCTGTACCAAGTTGTCTTTGGAACCAACCAGTGGGAGTTATACTCTGATTGCTGAGATTTAGAGATAGGGTATTGAAATCTCCAGCTTAGAGTATGATTTTCATCTGTTCGTGTATCTACGTCTTCTACAGATTTCGGAAACCATAGTCGCTGCTAAAAACTTAAACCATATTTTTGTCTGTTTACTGAAAAATCTCAGCCTTGTTTCTGCTTTGTAACTTTTTCTAAAAACCATTGGTTGGAAATTTTTGTTAGAGTTTATGAAATCTGAATGAGGATATAATTTGAAAAACAGTAATCCCACACGATTCCGGATATTGATGAGCTGTGTAAATCATCATTCTGTTCAAAGTCCGACGATCGGTCACTTTGGAAACTGATGTTGTCTTCCACTGTAGTTTAAAAACTGTCGTCCTTTAGTAACTAAATGATCCTTTTGCACTAACATAGAGTCATTTGTCGTGATAAATATTTGAGAATTACCAACAACAGGAAGTATAGACGTTATGTGATGACTTTAACGTTGTGGGTTTCCGTTGTTTCAGTTACTGATAACTGACAATACTGGTTGCGGTCGTTTGGTTTCATCTACGTGCAAGCAGAAAGACATGACAGTGAATGTCAGTAGGATATGTAATGACTTCGCTTTTGCTGAGAAAAAGTGATTGGTTAAATGGAAAAATTCCTTATTGTAACCAGATGTACCAGTGGTTGTCTTACTGAAATTCTTGTTCATCCGCACTTTTCTACAAGACTTTCCTGTTGCTAGGTACCTTTTGCTGCTCTGTAACTTTCGCTCGTTTTCCTTGACACGATTTCTGTATTCTTTTGATACCTCGAAATCTCCAGCAAATATACTCCTTCATCTGGACTATCTCTTGTCTCTTTTTTTGGTTCACGATGGAATAACGAGTAAAGACCAGAACGGAATAGGTTTGCAGTAGTGTTCATAGTCATATTCGACTCGAATCACTATAGATATTAGGTTGTTTTACAGAAATTATGGCTGATACCTATATGACAAACGTTCATTAATGTTTGAACACCAGTAAAAATAGCAGAATTTCGAACTGCTCATCAGTACGCGAATAGAATTCTACGCAACCTTTACATATGCCATGCTTTCAATAAAACAATGAATAAACACCGACTGATAAGATTGCACTAAGACGAATAACAGTATTTCAAACATATATCTCTATCTCTGGTCTTCATAAATTTAAGCATATGTCAATGCAGCTGTCAGGGTGTTTCTGGGTGCGTTGGTAGACGCTTTTAGCGCTACAGACCTTCGCCCAGTTTTCTCACCAAACAATGGAATGGCACAAACGTATTTATTACAGTGCTACTGCAGATGGTTACCGATGAAGACAGAATGTGTTTTGTATCTGACATCTGGCCTCAGACTACGTGCTTTTGAAGGACCGTGTGTATCCAAAAACACTTAAATAACTACTGGATTGTGTAGCATTTATTTTTTCAAACTAGATCAAAAAACTGTTAGGTGGGTTACTGAAAGATATTCCTATATTTTCCAAAAATCCTGCTACTTATATGTGTAAAATCGCTCAAATAAAATTATCACGTACTCATGCGGTGTCATAGTATCGCCATGAGAAATGTCTAGAATATTTCGAAGGCTAGAGCTAATCTATGCATAGTCTCCTCAACTACAGATGGATTATATTAACTTCAAATGATCAAGTCGTAAAAATTGTTTGTTGTAAACTTTCTCCACATTTTCCGAAATCCAACAACGTGGTTGTAGTAGGTCTTTGTTCAAGTCATGTTGTCAACTCAGTTGAAACAGTCTCTGACTGAAGCAGGGAAATCTTTAGACACTAAAGCTACTGTAATGTGAAATTTAATCCCTACAGAAAGACAGACGGTAAATTCGTACTTGAGGTATGATCCTAATATATTCTGTTCCGTCAATTTATAACTGCCCTACGTTTAGTGTTATATCAGCCTTATCCGAAAATTTACTCTCAATGAAATGCCAGTTTAATCCATCAGTGGGACAAAATATACCAGTTTGATGTTCTGCCTTTTAGCTGTGAAGACTACTGAAAAATAATTTAAGAATATCTGAGTAAATGCCGCGAATGGGCTGCTCAACACCATGTAAATGAGATATGACTTTCCAATGCTCTATCCAATAATAAGATGTATACTCACCTGCCTCTTGAGCCATCCTAATGTCGAAAAATGAACAAGAGACTAACTTTAAGGAGAAAATGACATCAGTGAAACCTGGAAAAAAGCGCCAGTGTGTTGATAAAATAATTAGATACAAAAAGTGTAACCACAGGTAATAAATGTTTTGCTCCATATAAGGGTTCTGTCTTGCAAAGCATAACGACTATCTGACAGGAAACACGCACTCAGCAGATATCTTGGGAAAGAGCACGTTATAAAATAGGAGGCAACTTGAAAATTGATGCTGAAACAAACTCTCATGAAGTTGGTTTAATCAGTTGGATCAGTTACATGCATGACCTTAAGTCTGTAAAGGTCGCCTTTTATAACATGCTTTGCAATAAAGGATGTAGAAAGTGTCTGCTGACCATCAGTGATCATCAAAAACGCAGAGTATGTCACCTTTTTACAGGAAATGAAAGAAACAGAAAACATAAATAAGAAAATATGATGACACAGACGTAAAACTGAAACAGACATATCGGTATTTCAATATCCAATATCTTTTTCACGAGCTAGTATAAGCCAGTTGATTTATTTGCGTTCGTTTCTTGTCCTTTCGGTAAGAATCCAGGTGTTAGGTAGTTCCCAACGAATGGTGGTCTAGCCACTCGACTGTCTAATTCTATTCAGTTTGCAGTTCATTGTGAATAGGATGTGACCAGTCCTCCGGCGCGTCATACTTGTTCATGTGGTTTATTTGGATGGAGATAATACGCCCTTTAGGCCATGCTTCAATGGAAAGGTACAGGTACATAATGAGCTTGATATGTCAGATGCATGTTGGAGGGCGGCTAGGCGTACTGCTGTAAGTCCTACTCGTTCTTCTGGTGCGGATTATGTTATAAGAGTGAACCATGATCATAGGCATCAAAATGGCTCTGCTTTGTATGGAGGGATTTCGCGAGTCGGTGTAAGGTCTGTTTTGGAAGGCTTTGTTTTTGAAAATCCCTCCGTGTATATGTAGGATTTAATTTGTCCTACAATGGTAATTCTAGACAGTAAACGCAATACTGGCGAGCACAGAGTCTGTGGTAAAACTATAGTAAAAGAAAGTCAACTTGGTTCTAAACGATTAACTTAGTACAATAAATAAGGAAATCACAATTATCAAGTAAGACGAGCAAACGTACTGACCGGTATAGCGTGTCTTTAGAAAATGAACAAAAACATGAGTCACATCAATCTAATAAAATAATAACGCCTTCAATCAATAGGTCATTTACAACAACGAAGGTTTACAGACCGGTCAGACTAGATAACGTGGTGAGCGCTTAAACCAATCTAATTGGTTAGTTATGGCATAAATAAAATTAGTCATGGAAATAACTAACAGTATACGTTTGTAACATGTCCTAATTGATTCCTTCAGTTCTACATTTTGTTAACGTGTTAAGTTCCATTTTATGATGATAATATTTGTATTTTATTATAGTTTCTGTTTTTTGTACTTCAACTGAGTTTCTGTCTCTTTCCGAACTGCATTCTGTTGTTTAAGCCGATACTTAGTTATGTCGACAGCCATATTGATTTTGTTCCTCTGGCGGTTGCACCGCTTACACTGGCTGGAAGTGTGCAATTTAGATTGGAAACTGAGGCATTCTTCCGGAACAGGAAACATTCTATTTCTTTTTCTCAAAATGCAAAATATTAGTTGATTAATGGCTTGCTTCGGCTCCTGAATCACCGTTAGTATGTGAAGTAGTTGGGCATTTTGACCGCCCCACTTTATCGGCAGCCTCGCCAATGCTGCTGGTTTGCTGTGTCACGAAATCTCAGCACGAATACGCAAGGTTCGACTGGCTTTGCTCAGCCTTCGTCACTTATGACATAGGCGAGATATCCGTTTGCTGATTGAAGAACAAGCGTCCTACTTCATGGCTGCGAAACATGGCTAGTAATATTAAAGGACCTTGAATGACATCGTTAAAAATCGTTACCTATGGCACAAGCTCATCTACTCTTTATGTATTACGGAATTCTCATCTTCAGAATTCCTTATCATATCTATCTTTCTCTTTCTAAGTTTATCTCACTCAATTATACTTCTTGAATAATATCTTCGAACTGTTATCTTCTCCATTCCCGTTAATAATTCTACTATCTCTGTGCTAATATGTTATGGCAACTTGAACTGATGTACGTACGTACGAAGTTCTATACTGTTGTTGACTGACTGATTTACTAGACAGACCATGCAGCGCCCGAATTTGAATGGAGCATTATGACATGTGTAGAATCTATTTTGAAGGCTTTGTTTTTGGAAAATCCCTCCATGTATAGATATATTTGTGTTATGATATGACTGACTCTTCTGTTCGATATTTTGGTACTTTATTTGATCCCATTTGAGATTTAATCATTGTATCTTGTACTTATATTGAAGTTTCCACGTTTCCTTCTGAACTATATATGTGTTTTTATATTTGATACTTAATATGGCTACAGCCATATTTCGATTTGATACTCGAGCAGAAACTGACTGGAAGCACTTATTCTTCCAGCAACGGAACCCATTGTGGTAATCGGAAACTCGGTGTAATATTGTTTTGGTAACTGTCTGAATTTCTCCTTTTGATTAAATATAGAACCGTTCTCTCCCAGAATTATCGCTTTTGGACTTGGACTGGGCGGGACGCGTATGAACCTACACCATTCGGGTTAATAGCGGACTGCAGGAGTAAATTATCATTTCATAATTAATACATTTTTACCTTTTCCTCTCTAATTTATTTAGTCGGTTAAAACTTAAAAAACAGTTTCATTAAAACAACAAGCTTCAAAGCAGAATTTAGAGCAACAGCTGACAACGTCAACCTGTTATCGAAACATTCATTTATAAGTAAATTCCTGATTGTCGTACTAAACATGTTTTTCAGATCGTAGATATTTTCTTCTGAGTAATTCTTGTATTTAATTTCCATCGTCATATGAGCGTACATTTTCCAAGAACAAGCATAATACACTGATCAGAACTCGTTTGAGTCACATGCATTCCGATATCAAGTTTAAACTGGCATCCGTACAAGTGGAAGTATCCAAAACAATTTGTTAACCTAAAGATGTCAGAAACTAATAATCAGCTTGATTAAAATCACGAAATATAAATGATAGTGATCTACTGAAGACAGAAAATCATAATAAGGTGAGTCAGCCGTCTAATACGAATAGTGCAGATGTTGGTAACATGAGAATAATTGAACTAGTTCGTGTTTTCTGCGTCATTTGAAGGTTAAAGTCGTTCTAATGGTTTGTAAAATTAGATCGACAGGAGTTTACATTTGTAAACTAACAACGCCATTTTTCTTACTGCTTCATCGATCCCCTTGGGAAAAATCATGCAGTGATAGGGAAAAATAGTCAAGTACACCATTTATTCAGGATTCTTGTCGAAGCATATTGACGGTCACTGCGATGTATCTGCTCGTACATTTCTGTAACCTATATATATGCTCGCCGAAATACCTCCATGGTAGAAGAAACAGGTGACCGAGTTATTCAAGTTGACCACATGCAACTCTTTAGTTTATTCCGTTTGATCAAGTTCAGCGAATCTGCCCGTGGTGTGAATGATTTCCTAACTGTGGGAAACGTTTGTTTCAAATAGTTACTTTCTCAATTAGAGGCTATTTGATTGGTGATACGTTCATCTTTGCGGAATGAAAAATGATACCCGGCTTTTCAGGAAACTTTATTTGTCAGCAGTTGACCTTACAAGCTTTTTATTGATATCGTGATTGTACCAAATGGAGAAATCACTGTTCAGTATAACTCATCTGCACGTTTTCGACAGCTCTCTATATTAATATACAGAACTTACTTCTCATAGTTTACTTCTGATATATTTAAACTAAAGTGAGTAACAGCACTTTTCTCCCCTCTAGGTATCACTGGGAATTATGGAGTTTACAGTACACACATTGGTGTCGATTTCGTTAGATTCTTCATTTCAATTGTAAACTAATTTTGATTTAAACTCATTATATAGTTTCATATGTGAGTTGCGTTGTTCACATATAACAGCATGCTTATGTACACTCAAAAACCAGCCTCACAACCAAAGTACTCCCAGTCTCCATCTTCACTTACACAGATGACGGAAAAGTCGCATATCCTGCCACGGACTCAAGACATTCATTGATTGAAAGTCTAATAACTACAATCTTCGAAAACGCTACATACTGTACACTAATTAAACACTAAAAAGCAGATGGATAACCTCAAATTCGTCTATGAGTTATACTTAGCTGTTTAACATATCTGAACAGGCTCTTTCGTAGCCTGTATATCTATCCACGACAAATAGTCCAGCATTGAACCCTTGGATCTATCTTAATGTTACTCTAGAACTCCTGACTTTCACAGTGACAACTTCGCAGTAAATAGTTTTGTAACTCGCTTCTTTCATTCATGAGCTAGAGATTGTAAACGTTATTGCAGAACGCATTACTGGACTATTTTTTTTTATCTGAGATGGGTAACGTAATTACGAAAACATGGTACTGATACCTAGACAGATACTAAAAGAAACTAAACATCTAATACCTACCTACATGTGGCATCATCTTTGAGATTAATAGATTTCAGATTACAATATTATGCTTAATGACTCAACTTCTTAGTTGAAACTCAAGTGTAATTTAGAATAACAGTAAATAATGGCCAAACAACTAGTTTTATTTAATTTAAATGAATACAAGGGAAAGTTCTGTCAACATGACTCATTATAAAATACAAAACTGTTAGCGCAAGGAAGTAGTAGTAAGCAAAGTCGAGGTAAGTTAGTACACTTAAATAGGTTTACTGAAGTAAAATAAAATCAATGACAAGTGGTAGATTATTTAGATATAGATATAGGTATATATACATATGTCTGATAAAACAGAAGCGGGTAAAATCACATAAAAATTACGTAAAGTATAAAAGAATCAAGTTAGAACATATCTTATTCGACAAATATTTAAGTTCTCCTTGGTTGCATTCATAAATTTGTACGGTATACCTGAAACAAAAAAAGATTGATACATAAATTATTGATCAGCGAATGAATAGAGGTCAAATGAAAACCAAAAGGAAATGAGACGCTGGATTCGAACCAATAAATATTGTGGCATTCACATATACATGTATAATGTGTTCTTCATGATTTTCAGTTGGTTAGGTTATTCAGTGTAATCAAGTTATACATAGCTTACCAATGAATGTAACAGTCAATTTTTTAATAAGAGGAAATCATTATTAAATAAGAAGGAAGCAGAAAATGATTTATTGGAAAAAACAATTGACACATTTAATCATGAACTATAAGCATAAAATCAACCAGCATAATAATAGTCTAATATTGTTGACAAACTTTATCAATACTCTTATGCAGAACAAATAATACAGAGATAGCAGAATGACTGACTCTATATTATAATGAAAATTTCGATGAATAGAACTTACCTTTCGGAATATATACAATACAAGGTTTTGTTAAAGGGATTGCAAACTTAGCAATTTGTACAGCGTAAGGAATGTAAGGATCTCTGTTATTATTTATTAGAACAGAAGGAGGACTTGACATTATTTTGAATACATTGATAGCATTTGGATCATAATGAAGTTGACGCCTTTCTTGTTCCTCACTTACGATCATCGTCAGATTTGCATCCACTTCAAAACAAGGTAAACGAGTCTTAGTTCTACTTGGACAAACACCTGATAAAGCAGGAACTATGTAACTCGAGCATTCCATAGTAGAGAATTTGAATGGTGAAAATTGTGCATTTTCTGGAAATATCACTTCTATAATAAAGGAAGAAAATTACTATTCATCGACACCTATTGTTTATGTCAGATTTAAAATATTTCAGTACAAAAATGAATGATAATCAGGCAGATAATAAAGCTAAACCGTATAACTACTGTATGTTAAAATGACATTCTCAAGTAACTGAAACTAGGTGTTCTCAAAAGATGATGCTACCAATTTCGTAATGATCGTAAAATGTTGATATACGCTGTAGTGAGAATGTGAGATAATATCTACTTGCAATTAACAAACATATTTTACAAGACAATTCATTCTAAACCAAACCAAATAGGGACGAATCGATGCATACTAGTCACACTGTTTGACAAAATATGGTAAATTTGATAACTTCAAGAATAACCAAATATTGAAACACATAATAAGCAGTCTTCGTTATGCATCTTATAAACCTCTATTATTGGTGATCTTGTTGGTTAGATTCATATGAGTTTTAGTTTGGGTCTGTTAGCTGTATTTAAACTGGTTATCTGGAAATTACACGTTCTTCGTCATTGACTTGCTTCGAACTCACTGATTCTGGTTAAATATCCATCAGTCAGCTACGACGTAGCACTTCGTATGTACGAACAACAGTTCAGGTCGCCATGACACATTAGTAAAGAGAGATGGGATTACCAGTTGAAAATTCATAGTAGCAGTAGTAATAGAGGTTGTAGCAGTTTGATCGGCAATCGGAAAGATTAGAGGTTGAATATGTGAAACGAGAAGGTACAAATCAGTGGAATTTTTCAAAAGTCATAAAGCATCCAGAAGCTTAGCATTTTGAAAAAAAGACGGAGAATGTGCGCATCTGCGCCACTGCAAACGATTTTGAGCCATGTCATTCACAGTATCTAACCATCGGTTACTATTGTCTCGTAGACACCAAACATACACAAGGCTCCGTTCAGCTGACAGAAACTTCTTGGATTTGTGCCGTCGTTTGGTCTGGCCGCCTCTAGCTTTCATCCAGCCTATCTCTACAGATCATCTACACAATAAAATATATTCTTCACATAAAATGAAACGAGAAAGTCAATTTACTGGGAGTAATATTAACGTTAAAAAATGTTTTAATCGAAAGATGATTAATGAAACAAGGATAAGACTAAAATATTTTACTAAATACTTAATTATTTGACATACGTTGAAAAGGTGAGGCATCATTGATGCCGATAGGTAATCGCGTTTCTGTAGGTGATATCCATTGGACGTCCGAATCCAAATGAATTCGCACACAAGAATCTGTTTGAGATTTTTGGGTACCTTTTTATGGGAAAAAATAGTAGTGATGACATAAGTGTTCATATACTTTAGATTAAAATATTTAGAGTAGTGAACACTCAAATCTTTATTACAAAAGCTGTTCAAAAACATCTAAGGGGGAAGATTAGTAGTAGGCTGGTTTATGTAAACACAACTAAATAGCCTAATTTTATTGAATAAACGTAGTCATAACAAAATATGTATACTTGAAGGGAAATATATAAACCGAAATCACCAACCAATCAAATTTATCCATTGGTTCAAAGGTATGAGAAATACTGTGAAGCTGTACAACTTAAGGAGTTAACCATAAATAAAATTCACCAACACTTTCTCATACAAATATAATTGATTGATATTCAGTTTTTCACAAACTTCTTACTTTAGTCGAAATGAATCTTTTAACAAATCACAAACAGTGCACATTCATAGATATGGTCTAAAATCATTCCATCGATCTCAAAGTATTTTGACGATAAATAAATATATCGGAATATATTTACTGCACAGATCTTCGATTTAGTATGTACTGACAAATAATAAGTAACACAGTACATGAATTGTGAACAACGTAGAATATAGGCAAGATAAAAATCATTGAACATGAAAATTTGTTTGAATTATTTTAAAACAAATAACCTTTTATCAAGCATAAAATAATGGATGAGTCTAATAACACAAATACTATTATATTTTTCTCCTACCTTTTAATGATCCGTAACGTTTGGCCAGTTTTTGAAGGCGTTTTGTTCGTTTAATTTTTTCAATCTTTAAAAATTGAGTACGATTGTTTTGACAACGTTTTAGACGATTGAGAAATCTTTGACGTCTAGTAATCTCATCCGGGTCAGGTAATATAGCTAAACCAACTGGTTTTTGGTAAACTAAACCATATTCATCTTTATCCGGTTCATAAACAACTACTTTATTTCGATCGTGTGTAGCTGGTGCACGTAGCCGTTTACTACGTCTTAACTGACCACCACTTTGAATAAAACTTTTAGAAAGAGGTCGTTGTGATTCTGGTTGTAACAGAACAAAGGTTAACAAAAAAAATATCAGTCTCAATATTATTGAGAGAACACAATAGTAGGAAATAATATTTAAAAAGAGCTTAATATGTAAATGTTTTAATTGGTGAACAGATTTTAGCTACATCACAACGAAAAAACCAGTAAGGACTAGATATTCATTTTTCCTCAGCAAAGGATTATTCTCTAGTGCGTATTCACAACTCCACCGCGAATAGAACTCAGCACTATTTGATCCTGCGCCCAATACTTTACCTTCTAGGCATGTACACCACTAGATCCCGACTCAGTATTCTAGAAGTCAAGCATTCGCTTGCAAAATCAAAAGTTCTGGTTTCCAACGCATAAAATAAAACCTTAACTCAATGGAAACATCAAGATTAGGAACTTTAATCAGTTTCTAACAATTGAAACTTCAATTGTAAGTGAACTTGAAAGTATCTTTCCTAAATAAATTAACTATTATTAGTTTAAATTAAATTATGTAATTTGAAAGCAGAAAGTTAATGAACACACATGCACCATGATAACTTGGAGAATAAATTTTTCACTAATATAATAATCACAATATGATATGTGGAAGTACAATAAAAACTAGTTATCACTAATTCAGTTCACAAAATCACTAAAAACGTTGAGTACTACTTATTAATCGTGATGATAAACAAGACGATATAAAAAAAAGACATGAGAAAAATAACTAATCAACTAACTGAATGGGAAAAACTGGCAATCGTATGGAGTACGCCATGGAAGTTCAATTTTCGGTAACGATAACGAGGAAGTGGACGGAGAGAGATCATTTGAAGCTTGAATGCTAGAATATGCAGTTGATTCGGTAAAGGATTCAATATTCTCTTTATTTTCACTTTGAGTCTACAATTAAAACACGTACAGATATGAATAAACACATATGAAAATTAAATGTTGATACCTCATCAATAGGAGAGAATAAAGAAACAGAACAAAAATATTGAACATAAAACATGAATAGCAAATGGTTGGCGACAAAATTCATTAAAATTATTCCCAATGAATTCAAGTCATTGACACCACATTGTCTTTGATCATAATGCTTTGTAAAGTGTAATAAGTAATTCATGTAGTCAATGATTAATTAACTTGCACGTATTAAATTCATTCAAAGTGTACAAAATGATAAAAATATATTAATTGTTAGTATTGCTAAAATGTGAACAGTAGCAACAGTTTTATGAGAAATGTGTACTAGTCATCAATAGTAAGAATATTCCTATTTAGGACTGTTCATAAAAATAATGAATGCCTTGTGAGAAGGCAGCACAGTCGAAGATGATGGTTGCCCGAGGCAAACACCTTACTACTGACCAACCTCTTTACAGTCAGCAGAACGAATTCGCACTCAGACCTTGAGTTGATGCTTCTAGTCTCACCATTCTCCAACCGATCTGCCTGGCATGGTGGGACCTACTAGAACATATGTTCCAGTCAATATAGCTCGGTTGAGTCATCACGATAGGCAAGCCCGAACATCACGTCAAGGTAGCAGCTACGGTCTGGCATTGTCGCCAGTGACCAATAAGTTCATACATAATTTGTTCCCTCAGGATCATGCAGCCCATGCATACCACTAATTTGGAACTAGGGCTTTCCAACTCCCCTAGATGGACCCTCCGTAATCGTCATTCCCATCTAAACGACCGAAATTCGCTTTTCATCCTAGTAATTTAATAAATAATATTGCTGTGAGAAAGTAGTGAGTAGTGTCGAATCATAAATTCCGATGTTTCAAGCTTGAAATCAATCGTTTTAGGACACGGTAAGTTACATTAAATCTGGTCTTTTTCTTTAAAATACTTAATAAGCTATACTTTACATCCAACGAAGCTATTCGATATGCAGAAATTCCTAGTTATAGCTTCCGCAACGTTGTCATGAGTGATAAAATCACATTCTAAATCTCTTTGTATGAATTTTCGGCACTTTCTTGCAGATACTTTACACTAACACCGTTCCTTGTAGATTTAACTAGTTTGAATAGTATGTAACTTGAACATCAAAGCATCAAATAACCTTGTGCATGAATTATGGTAAACTTGATAGAGCTGAATGACCTATCGTTTTAGTTATTGATTTCGTTATTTCCTTAGTTGTAGATGATTATAACCAATGAGTTATGACAACTGGAAACAACACTAAACACACACCGTTAATACAGCAACACGATTCCCCAATTAATAAGGATTAATAGTTCCTGACTGACACTGTGCATTACCGTAATATATATGTGCAAAAAGGAAGTGTCTAGACTCCTTTTTGAACTGGAACACTTCACACAATTTAACATGACATATTCAATCATTTACACCCGAAAATTGCCATTTATGTCCAGCTGCTCGTGCCTGTAAACCGGCATGAATTTTGTATTTACCATTTTCAGAGTTTATCATGATAATTTTTATTAAAAAATTCAATGTTACTAACATCAAAATAAACCTGAACGTTTTTAGCCGATCGTGTTAATTTAACAAGCCAACTTGTGTAGTTTAGTTAACAGAGATTCAAATAAATAATTTGGTGATTGACTTATTTAGATCATGACACGATCGTAGTTAGACTAAATTAAATCATTTTGACTGGTTAAGTCTAAGGATTAAAAAAAATAAACAACTTGAACTATTTCTGATAGTTTAATTTCTGAAAAACTACATTTATTACGAGTAACATATAGGTTATTTTTGAAACTCAGTAAAAAACTCTTTAAACCGAAAATATTTCATTGGCAAATATAAGAAATTTTAATGTGTATATAACTTACCAAGGAGTCCTCATAACTTGTTGGTTTCGTCGACATTTCGCTGTTAAAATGAGTCATATCACTCTCTTCACAAGCAATCGGACCAACAGATACTCTGGGTTGAGAATTATCTCGACTATCGAAATATACTATTTACGCATAAAAAATAAAAGTTTCGTTTGAACCTTCTTAAATAAACAAAATGTGATTTTATAACAATTGAGGGTTTTAAAAGTAGAATTAAACACTATTCAATTATTTCTAAAATTAAAACTCAAGAAACAAAACTTCGTCACTACACTATCTGTTCAGTAGATAAGTGAACTGAGGTAAAAAAAAAAACAACTGTGTTTTCCAGAATATAGCAGTAATATAGTTGTCTCATTTACATTTACATTGCTTGAAAACTTCATGAGATTATTCAGGAATCAAGATTTCTAACTGCTTGACGTCGTTGATATAGACGATCATTGGTCGAAGACAAAGAACGAGAGATCAAACATGTTCAATACTTCCTCAGGAAAAACCCAATAATCATCATTATATAATAATTGGCAAACAACAGAATTATTTTATTCAGATATATTCTGACTATTGCAAACTTTCGATGAACCAGCTAAATGCTGTGATGTGCTGTTCCCTTTCTTAATTAGTGCTAATTAACCATCTATAGATTGTATCTCTCTCTGCTACTTATGACATCATTGTATGTAAAGTATGATTTCATATCCTTGGTGTATTGTGAACAAACAATTTATGCATAAGGTGGTGGGTGTTTGAGGCGCAATTTGAGGTGGTTGGGACATAATAGTAGAAACACCCCACACTTAGAGCTGCGGATAGGTGTGGGTGTCTACCAGTTGACTTCAAGTAGTGGACGTTACGATAGTTGTGTTAATTAAAACGCATTACTGGTCAAAGCTACGTATGTTAGGCTATAGACGGAATACCGCAAGCTGTATAGAAAAAGTAAAAACAGAATTCCTATTTCCGAACAAAAAGTGATGTAGATTAGTGGTCTTGAGGATAACAGTAATGACGAGAAAAACAGATCAAGTGAATAAGCGAACGCATTGATCTTTTTAAAATAAAAGATTTCAAATATTCCACTATTTGTTCAATAGATAAATAGATATATATGAATATTCTAACTTGCTGAGTTACGTAAGTACCAATACACAAGTCCAAGCAAGCAATTCAGAACAACATGTTCATCGCACTAACTGTTTCGAGTCAAACTACCACTGATCCGGAGTAAATCCCAAGTGCAATAAAACAGAATGACAATATATAGCTGGAATATGATTAAGGGATCACACACAACACATACACTAGTTAACTGTGTGAGTTATTAAACTTATCCAAAAACTTATTGACATAGAAGTTATAGTGTTATACTGAACAGAAAAGTTTGCCAGTTTTATACAAGATATCAAAAAGAGAGGACAACACTCAGATAACGCATAAAAGGATACAAGGAAATGACACATCGACAGTTATTCACAATGTGGCTAATCTAGCTAAACACTTCAACAGACTAACATAACAAAAATAACACGACAATTATACATCACGAACATAGCAATATGTAAACCGAATAAATTCGAATAACTTACCGACATTAGGTGCGAATGTAACACTTGGACGACCTTTAGGTATGATAGGATAATTTGACAAACTGCGTGAAGAATTCTAGAAGGGAGAAAATTAAAATGACAGTGAATGCAGAAAAAAACAATAACAAAGCCGAACGATGAAAAAGAAGAAATAGGCAAACAAACTTTACTTAAGATTAAAAACAGAAATCATTACCTCATGATTTTCAGCTAACTGGTTGAAAGTAGTTAAAGCTGAAAAATAAAATAACGAGGATTCATTAAAAACCATCCTCAAAAAAAATGTATACAGAGAAACAAAAGAGTAAGAAAAGTGGTGAGACGAAATTAAGACAAACATTGAACAAACTAGTAACAAGAATAAAAAAAACAGGACCAATGATACACAGTAAAGGATAAGGAAAAAATTCATTTAAAAGGACAGCGAAGAAATTTTTAATATTTCCAAGAAAATACAGGCACCGAGAAAGAATGAAAATTAGAGAAAGATGTGGCGAAAATTAAATATCACTATAGAAAATTAGAAATAAAAAAGTAGAAGACACAAAACACAATCGTAAAATAAAGAGTAACATCTCAAATGTTGATCAACTACCGATCAAATTACAAATTAATAACTTGGTTTACCCGTGTAGGTATTGTACTATTTGATGAAGATGCTGACAAACATGGAATCATCTAGTTGCCTTAAGCATTAATCTAAGCAGGTTTCAGATGCGAATATCTCTATCTGATTGCAAACTGTCGATTCATGATTGGTCTGCATCAACGTAAGAATTGATGATGAGGAATGAAGCAGTTGAATGGGTCGATCACTCCACTTATCTTAGAAGTCTCATCGACCCCGATGCGTTGGTATTTAATGAAACCACGGTCGAATTTCGCGTCACTGGTGGAGTAGGCAACATAGTCGTCTGACAACCAAAGGAGGAGATAACTACACAAAAGTTCGCTTCGTTCGATTCCATAGGTCAGAAACAAGATCATCAACAATCTAGAAGGTCCGCCTATCACTAGTATTCGATAATAGGGGTCTTCGAAGCATTGTCACAGTATTTGTGGACTACTGAGTGAGCAATCCTGAAGTTATACATACGGAACTAAGAAAAGATTGTAAAGTGGATTTTTGTCCATCAGGGAGATTTGGATACTGGTGAGCAATCCCTAATCACCACTTAACTCAACGAAAACGTTGACTGTTGTGAGAGTAGATGAGGAGAAAGTTAGAAGGGGTCAAGAGAACACATGTCACCAGTACATAAAGTGAGCGAGAACTAGACACATTCATGTTCATAACGGTCGATTAACGAAGCCTTTTAAAATGAATATTACAAGGGCAAGAAAATATATATTTGCACAGACGTTCACAGGTGAAATCAGATGGCAGTTTATCTTTTTTAAAAACGCATAATTCGAACACCCAGAAATTTATAAAGATATTAGTAGCTAGTAATGCAAAACCATCATAGGCCACAAGAAACACAAACACACGTCTAACCATTGATAAACAAAAAAACACAATGGTCGGTAAACAAAACAAATACCTTCTGGCATCGTAACGTCATCCTCATAACGGTAGGGAATTGGTGACAAAGCCAGACGGGAAGAAACTGAACGAGCCAAACTATTGTTTTCATCACTCGGAACACTTTTCATTTCTTCTAAAACAACACCTAAAAAATTAACAATGAGATACAGTTAGCGAAATTAACACCAATCATAAAGACACCCTCAACAGTATCTGCTACCTTGATGGGGTGGTTGGGCTTGCACATCATAATAACCTATTCGACTTATATTGGCTATCATACATGTTATCCTTACTAGTTTGATGCCACACATGTCTGTATCAGAACTTTGTGCCTCAAATGAATGAAAGAAAGTTCAATAGAGATGTCGGCAGCTTGATTTTTCGGTGGTATGCCAACAGTAAAATGTTTTTCATCAAGCCTTCACCTACAACCATGATTCCTGCTGCAAAGCAGATGAGGTAATAATTAAATTTCGATGCGGAAGCCGTCATAATCATTACACTACGGCTCAAGGTTTCCAGCGATAAGTATCTCTGTGGTAGGGGGTCACGTGATCATAAACGTCTTGTAAAGTGTTGGGGATGTTAGATCCCCAGAACTCGATTGATAAATATTTTTATTTTGAATTTATTTCATGGACCGATCAGTTAACCATGAGATCACATTATTCACCAGGAAAATCCTTGGCTGTGATTGGTTACTGTGTCATTTTAGTGTGCTATTTTTGTGACTGTTCCAAGGACGTCTCTATAGAGTATAAATAAACGCAATTCGAGTGCTTGGATTCATTGGGCTGGCTGGGTGTTTGTAGAATACAATTTCTACGCTATATCAAGACTTCTCGCTGATACCTGTTGCTTCATTCTTTTGTTCTCGTTATTCGACCAAGGTGAACTCCTAATAGTTTAAGCTTACCTAGAGACTAGCGTAACAATTTGGCGACGGCATTGTGACAAACGATCTAGTGAATTATGATGGATGCAGCTAAATTAGAAAAAATGTTTGCACAACAGCTAAAATTGATGGCTCTTCTCAAGTCTGATCTACACCGACAATCCCTCAGTCACTCGATGAGATGACCAGTGGTATTTCAGTTTTTTATGATCCTGACGCCAATATTACATTTGATAATTGGTTCAGGCGTTATGAAGACCTCTTCAAAGTTGATTTTGCTGACCGAGATGATTCTTGGAAGGTGCGTCTTCTCCTTAGATAACTTGGTCCGTCAGAACTGGACCAGTATTGAAACTACATCCTGCCGCAGAACCCATGCGACCGATCATTCGATGCTACTGTTTAGTCCCTAAGCAAACTTTTGGTGATCAGCACGCTCTTTTCAACACACGTTATCGCTGCTTAAAACTGGTCATGAATGAGTCCGATAACATCATCACCCATGCTGGCATTGTCAACCGTGAATGCGAACGGTTCAAACTCAAATTTCTCACTGATGATCAAATCAAATCCCTCATATTCATATGCAGTCTTCAATCACCCAAATTCTCCGACATCAGAACTTGGTTGCTTAACCGCCTTGAACAAGACCCAACACTGACACTCGATGCGATCAATGATGAATACCAACGCATCACCAACTTGCAGCATGACAACACTTTGAAGCAATCTGGGGGCCGGGGTCGTTCCGAAGATCACGTTGTTCACCAACAGTTACCTAACCATAATAAAGGTGCCCATGTTACACCCAGTTCATCTCACTCCACCTCAGTCCAAAAGTCAAAAACGAATCCTCCTACTCCTTGCTGGCACTGCGGCGCATGGCACTATGTACGAAACTGCTCATTAAGGAAAAATCAATGCATAAAGTGCATGGCCATCGGTCATAAAGGTAGCTTTTACCTAAAGAGAAGCCGAACCGATTCAGAAGTGCTAAGAAGTCTGTTCCTAGATCCGTTACCAATTCATTGAGCCTAATATCTTCCCGTCAAAGCTCATCACCAGGTGAGAGAAAATTCATTACTCTTAATCTTAACGGGCATTTGTGTAGATTGCAAATAGATACCGCATCTGATGTCACCATCCTCTCACGCGAAAATTCGACTGATTTGGTCAGCCCAAGCTATCAACACACAACACAGAAGCCTCGTGTAGCATGTGGTAATTACTTTCATCTGTTAGGACGACTGGAATGTAAAGTTGCCTTCCGAGACTCATCATTTACTGGTGTATGTTATATAACACCAGCTAATCTAAATCTACTTGGTTTAATTTAGTTCGACCAGCTGAAATTGGCTGATGTCCCGTTAAATACCATATGCAGCCAGGTATAACGACCACATGACCCCGAAGCATATACGAGGAATCTAATGACGAAGTTTTCAACCATTCTCCAACCTGGATTAGGTCGGTGCACTGCCATGAAAACAACACCTCGGTTGAAACCTGGGGCTAAGCCTGCTTTCGGTCCAAAGAGACCCGTGCCTTATGCAACATTAGCAATAGTAGATGAAAAATTAAATCGCCTTCAACAACTACGAGTTATTACTCCCGTTTCTTACTCTACTTGGGCAGCACCTACAGTTGTTATTAAGAAGGCCAACGGCACGATACGTATATGTGCTGACTTCTCTACAGGTCTCAACGCAGCTCTAGAACAGCATCATTATCCTCTGCCAGTCCCAGCAGATCTGTTCACTATGCTGAATGGGGGAAAGTTCTTCGCAAAGCTTGACCTAGCTGATGCTTATTTGCAAGTGGAAGTCGATGAAGCATCTAAAGAGCTGCTTACTATCAACACTCATCGTGGTTTGTTCCAGTATAACCGTCTACCTTTTGGAGTTAAGACTGCCCCATCTATCTTCCAACAACTAATGGATACTATCCTGTCAGATATCGCAGGGGTTGCAGCTTATCTCGATGATATCTTGATTACTACTACAACACATCAGTGACAACGATTTCCGGTTACGCCCAGAAAAATGCAAGGTTTATTGCAGCCGGTAAAGTATTTGGGATTCATCTTTGATGCCGACGGCCGCAGACCGGATCCTGAGAATATCCGAGCTGTGAAACTGATGCCCGAATGCTCGGATTAATCAGTTATTATTCAGAGTTTGTTTTCTCGATGCATGATATTCGCGCTCCATTGAATTATGTGTTTGACCAGTCCAAAACATTTCTCCTTGTCCTCTATCAGGTCGTTATGATCACCATTTATCCAGTTTTATGTTCAGGTGTAAAGAATAAGTTGTAGTGCCTCCACATATATTTCAGTTCTCTCACATCTAACTTGGTTAAGCCCTTTCGATTAATTTATTTAACCAAGCCATTTGTAAAACAATAACTTATATGTACCATTGGCTTTTATTATTGTGTGGTTTGTATGCGCTGGTATGATTGAACATTGTTTACACTTGCGCGCATATTCACACTTTTCGCTTTAATGTTAATCTCTTAATATCCTCATGAACTCACATGATTTGTATCGCTTGCTTTTGATCTTGTCAATCATTCGTCGCTTTTATTCATGTGTGTGCATACCTATTTCGCTTGTCATATGTCTGTCTTATTCTTATCTGACTATATATTCTTAGTCATACTCTATCTCTTTGAGTTGGCTCTTAGCCTTCTCCAATTCGCTTCTCTGCTATCCTTATTGTGGTGTGCTACAATAAACGTATACGATACTTGGAGTTCATCTTCTGATTTATAAACCGAGCTTAAGAACACGCAGTAAATCGGCACACTACAAAGTATTTCTGCACAATGTGCGCATAATTCGAACACCCAGAAATTTATAAAGATATTAGTAGCTAGTAATGCAAAACCATCATAGGCCACAAGAAACACAAACACACGTCTAACATTGATAAACAAACAAACACAATGGTCGGTAAACAAAACAAATACCTTCTGGCATCGTAACGTCATCCTCATAACGGTAGGGAATCGGTGACAAAGCAAGACGGGAAGAAACTGAACGAGCCAAACTATCGTTTTCATCACTCGGAACACTCTTCATTTCTTCTAAAACAACACCTAAAAAATTAACAATGAGATACAGTTAGCAAAATTAACACTCTTACGCATGCACGTAAATAGGTCAAACTGATATGCCTGTACTATTACGAGTTAACCTCAGTCGTATTTGATGAATGTCCTAACAAGCACCATTAATAAGGACACCTGCAACAGACCCGACCGTAGCTGTTACTCTGATGTGAGGGCCGGGCTTGTCTATCGTGACCACTCTCAACCGAGCTAAAGTGGCTGGAACATTTGTTTCTGTATGTTCTACTATGCCAGGCAGGTCTATTGGGGAACGATGATACTAAAAACAGCTACTCAAGGTCTGAGGGCGAAATCGTACTGTTGACTGTAAGGTGTTTCCCTCGGACAGTCAGCACCTGCAGCGATGCTTCCTTCTCACAAGGAAGGAAGGGGTTAGAAAAGGTCGAGCCTAAAATTTTCACACCTCACCTTACCTGACGAATTTCTGTCTCCGGCAGTGAGGACTTTTAAAAAGAGCGGAGCTAATACTCTGAAAACTTATCATAAAAAGGTTGTGCATGACTAGCCTCAAGCAGCTGTAGATTGGGCACTGCGGTTACGCTGCCAGCTCTCTAAGACCAACACTAATCCAACTTCGCTTTCAGGTTCTTCAGAAAACACCAATCCCGGTGCGTGCAACCGCGAAGTGACATCCTCTTTCATATCCGTAGCAACACGACAGACGAAAATGGCCCAAATCAAATCCTTTCTACACCTACAGACATGGCGATTCACGCTTCTCACATTACTCTATTACCCCGCACCGCTAATGGAAGAAATTCGAATTCACGAAACGTTATTCGTGGTCTCCTAAGGCCGCACTCTAAACTACATATTGGATCTTTAAATGTTCGAACCTTGTTTCATATAGGGCAACAAGCTTCATTAGCTGGAAATCTGGAATCCCGTGAAATCGATGTATGTTGCGTCCTCGAAAAGCAAACACAAGATTCGAGTACATTGATTTATTTGATTTAACGTTGTGCAGATAGAGAAACAACACGGTCTATCCTAGTAGCTTGTGAGCTGTCCGACTAAACGAGACAGTAAGGACTCGGGAAGGATGGGATACTCGCTGTCGCCTCTTCGTCATATCTGCCTATGATACCACTGACTGCGGTTCAGCTGAGGTAAAAAATGCATTTAACAGAAAGCTCTTAGAACTCGTCCAAAAAGTTAGGTGCTCTGATATAGTAATAATGGCTGGCGACTTCAATGCTCAAGTAGGTACACTCAGTGGAAAGGAAAGACATCTGGGTGGATCTTATGGTGTCGCGGCTCAAAGATCAGATAATGGAGACCGACTGAAGCAACTATGCTCAGATAACCGCCTATTTCCGGAAAAACATCTCTTGACATGGCGACCGCTAAATTCAACCCAACAATGCACACAAATAGATCACATCGCAATCAGACACCGATGAAGGGGTTCGATAGAGGACTGTCGCTCATTCTGGGGTACATGCCTAAATTCAGATCATGCTCTAGTGAGAGCGCGTAATTGTATGCGGCTCACCGGACGTAGGAAATAAATCCCAGGGGAACCTCTAAGGGTTTGACTGAACGATAACAAAGTTGAGAATGTATTGCAAGAACAACTAGAAAAACAGTTCGGTAGCCATGTAGTAAGTGATGCCCACCCTGGGGCAGCTTAGAATGATGTCAAAAAGCTGTGGAAACAGCAGTGATATCTGTTAGTGAAGTAAACCATAAAGGTTATGAATAAGCCGTGGATCTCGGTAGCACCTGCCGAACTGATAGATGTTCGAAAACGTAGCTACACTTGAGTCGCTCATGATCTCCAGTCAACCTGAATGGCGAATCAACGTAAGTCCTCCGACTCTTTATGAAGTTTAGTAGTGGTAGCACCGCTACTGAGATTTTTAAGGAACGTGGTCCAGTTTTTGAAGTTAGAATCTAGGAACTGGGCATAATCACATCCAACTGGTCTCAATCAGTGATTGTCCCAGTTTGTAACATAGGGAAAATGTCCTTTGTGACAATGACAGAGGAATCAGTTTAACCGACAAAGTATTTAAAATATTGGCATTAATAATACTCCGACGCCCAACGAAAGCTCGTGAAGAGCAGACTCGAGTAAACCAGGCAGATTTCAGATCTGGACGTGGATGAATAGACCAAATATTCACACTATGTCAGGTCCTAGAATAAAGACACACGTTCAGATGCCCCACAATAGTAGTATTACTCGACCTTAAAACGGCATTCGACTCTGTTGATTGTGAGGTTCTGTGGCAGTGCCTATCGTTGAAAGGTGTGCCAAAGAAGTACATTAACATTATACAAGCTCTCTACTCGAACATTAAAGGTTCAGTTAGAGCTTATGATGAACTATCATCGGAATTCGTAACTTCAAGTAGCCTCCGTCAGAGATGTCCACTTTCTCCATTCTTTGTCATAAGCATGCTTTTATAGTTAACACTATACTCGTTTATATTTTACGGAGTGGACGTTTTACTAGCAGACACACCCGCTGACTTGGACTATGTCGATGACATAGTTCTAATTGAAGAAGACTCTGACAAAATGCTGAGACTTCTGACTAAACTAAGCAACAGTGCAAGCATGAGCAGGATGCGATTCTCCCCCTCGAAATGCTAAATGTTGCTTCAAGATTGGGTTGCATCGCCCACCGGAACTAGTGTTAGACAGTGAAGTAGGTAATAGTTTTCGATCATAGGTATCTTCGAAGCATTGCTCGTATATGCTGGGACAATCTAGTAAACAATGTCATCGTTAGGAAACGGGTAGTAGGTAAAGACGACAGATCAATTGATGACATTTTGAAACTTCATCAGATGAGGTGGGTGGACATGTGTTGCCTGTGCCCAAATACCAATTGCCTCAACCAATTATGTTTTGCGATGTAGGAATAGGTTGGACAAAAACAAGGGGCAGCCAAATAAAAACATGGCAGAAATCCATGAAGTCGTTGACAAGTGGACTGAGTCATGTCGGTAGGTGTTGAATACCTGGTTGGGGTCCGCGAGACGAAAGTCACCTATGGATAGAGACTTTGAACGACATGGCTCAGAATCGTTTGCACTGGCGTAGGTGCATTCACTCATTGTGTTCTCTCAAGTCCTAACCTTCTGCATTCCTCATCACCTCTATCTTGCTCTTTCTAAATTTACCTCACTGAATTATACTTTTTTTAATAACATCGTCAAACTCTAATCTCTCCTATTACGGGATTATGCGATTCAAAGTGACAATCTTTGTGCTAATGTGGTGTGGCACCTGGAACTGATGTACGTATGTACCAAATGCTATGTTGTTACTGACTAATTGAAAATAAAAAGGTAGTATTACAGTCTATTGCTTGCATTTCCACTGAATTTGTTTTTTAAGGAGGTCAGGTAAAGAATGTATAATCTTACGATCTATGGTATTGAATGTATTGGTACTTTTTCTCTATGTCTTCTTGTTTGAAGATTGTTTCTTCTGCTTAGTTAACATAAGATAGTTGTCACATTATACATTCAAAGTACATTTGAATATATTTCATCAAGTGTTTCCGTTGTTAGTTTATGTGCGGTATCGATCGAAAGACTGTTGTCTCTAGTAGCCATTAACAATCTTTGAGGTTGAACGATATGGTGCTGTTGAAGATTTTTTAGGTTTTAGGTAATTGCAATATGTTAAAAAATTATAAGATTGTGCTGGTTTCGTAAAAACTTACTATTTTCCCGAAATTTCTTTACTAAGTGCTTAGAATCAACAGCATCATCATCATCTTCTGAATCAAGCAAACACTCTGTGACACATGTGGTTATTGGCTTGATCAAAGGTAAAATAGTATTAACAGTTTCCGGATGCAATTTACTGTCGCTTGATCCACGCGAGCATGTCGGTCGACTTAACTGGAAAATATAAATAAATATGTTTCATGATATATATATATATATATATATAATACTTCAATGACAGATCATAACACAGTTTTTAAATACCAGATACAACTGGATTTGAGTGTATTTAAAAACTTCAATGTGTCTTTGCCAGCTAACTTGTTTGTTTTGAATTGAGTATAATGTTTCAGCTCTAATTTAAGGATCTTCAAAAGCGACATTTTGCATAGCTTCAAAGAAGAAGCAACGAATGTATCAGTAGTAAAATAACAGAACACCTTGTTAATATCAGTCAATGTTCAGTTACAGCAAACTTATCATTTACAGTAGTAATAGACAAGATGAGAATAAATTTCTTAAAGGCAGTGTGACTAATCATTTTTTTTTCTAGACTGTTGTAGGCTGCAGAGACTTGTATACTTTACAGACTGAATTATCTAACAGTTAGATACAACTCTTTACTTTTTCACTTGATCAACTCAAATTTCTTTTCTGTTTATAGTCTTATGTAAACTGGATTTCAATTCAGAATGTTTTAACTAATGTATAATTTTCATCTAACTGTATTATAATTCTCTTTGAATCTTTTAATCGCTTCGTTAAACCACATTGTCTGTTCTGTGAGCAAGTCGAACAATAAAAAAATCACAAACATCACATGGTTAATAATTGAAACAAGATAACAAATTGAGACAACTACTAACTCGAGTTCCATTTGAAATTTGATAGCTTTCTGGTGTAGAATCCCCCTCCAATTCGTTTACTTAACAAAACGGAAAATAAATGAAATTAGTACTGGCTATCATAATAATAATAATAATAATAATAATAATAATAATAATAATAATAACCATATTAGGATAAGTACCTATCATTTCAGTGTACAATAATTTGTTGTCATCATTTACACAATGTAATCCTGTATTATAATCTTTCTATTACATTGTCATGTTTGTTCATTGTTCATATGTCGTCACGGAATTAAAACTTTGAAAATATCATATATAGACGATTGTACTGCCTGATAATAAACTCGCTGCAAAGAAGAAATTGCTTTGCTGAACTTTGTGTTTTTAAAAGTAGACCGATATTGATATCGTCAGATCATTGATTCATCATTGTACGGCAAAACAACAGACAATACAAGTTGTAACATATTTCTCAAGTACAATGTTACATTCTCGGTTTTAAGCTTTATTGTCTTTCAAAAGCTGGTCTAGGTTGAAGTTAGCGCAGTAAGTAGCGTATGAATCTGGAACTGTTTACTTGAAAGCTGAATCCCTGATCACTAAGTCCAAGTCTCATGAAATATTATGCCACATCATTTCTGATCACATATGATATGATTAAATCTTTTAGAGTGAGGAGCGATGTGTCATTTAAAACAATGCAGTAATCCGATTGTTTGCAGATAGTTAAATGTTCGACGACAATTTTATATTACAAAATGAAATCGGCTGCCTATATCATGTGCAAGAATTAAATAGGATATCAACAATTTTGCCTGCTGATCGGTGAAGCATAAGTTTATCACTTTCAGATTTTGATTTATACGCAAATTTAATAGTGAGGATTTTTTAGTTCTTATCATTCAATAACGATGCACATCTTCGACAGAATACTATTTGGGTACATTAACAGCATTTAAATAAATTATGAAATTTTTTAAATAAAAGTATCTTTTTGTTTAATTGCTCAGTAATTGAGTTACATTTTTACAATAGTTCTAATCCTTGATTCTTTCTTAAATTATAATGAAACAGGTTAATTATGAGAAAAACCGGAATAATAATGGTGTTTGGCTGAAGAAACAGTGAAATAGTACAAAAAGATGAATATAAATAACATATCGTAGACATTTAATAATAACAATAATAATTATAATTATAATTATGATAATAAAATGTTCGAAAACAATAAAGATTAAACTGAAAAGTGATGAGAAATTCACAAAAATTGAATCTGAACAACATAGTAATCTAAGTAAAGGACAACTTACATGACATTAAGGCAGAAATTCTATCTTGCTCCCCAAGAAGACGAAGCTTTTTACTTGCTGAACACTAGAAAAGTAACGTTTTTTTCAAATATATGAAATGATTACTTTCATTAACAATAGTAAAAGAGGTAACATTCATAACAACTTATTTATGGAGAATGGGAACCCTTTATCGTTCTTATTAGTAAGCTTATTATTAAGATTAAGTGGCGCTCTTTTAATTCTATTTATGCACAATTACTTAAGATATAACTTGAATTCACAAAATGACCGGAAACAGTAGAGAGTGAAGAGAGTTTGCTCAGCCTCTCGTAATACTCTCGGTCTGGCCAAACGTATATAACCATTATCACAGAAATTATACTCATTGTCTTTTAACGTTATGCATGTTGTTTACGAATTAGATAGGATGAGGTGCGAAGGCTCAGCGCTTAAACCGGGTTAGTGGGTACATAGAATTCAACTAGCGCAGTTGGAAAGCCGTGATTGCAAACCAATGCAATTCTTGAGTAATAAATGGTGTGTGCGTTCACACTGTTGGAAAACGGCTACCATGGGCTTGAATATTATAACGTTGTTTCATTGAGTTGTGGATTGCACCTTTATGACAATAGCTCATGAGTGCTAAAGAATCAAAAGAGGCTTAGCTTTGACAATCGGACAGTAATTCAGCCCACAAATGTATGCAATGAACTGTGGCACATTTGTTTTCTTAACTTTCGAAACTAATGTTTGTGAATTTAGGAAGATAACAATAACCAAAAATAACATAAGAAAATGTAACGAAATAAAAAATTAAATTTCGGTGAAAAAACACAATCGTGAAAATAATTTTCTATCAGACGGACAACCTACAGCCTTCACGGGGGACCTATTTTGCACAACAGAAGAACAGTTCCCAAAGCTCACAAAAGAAGAAGCATCATCAGGACGTAATAATGGAACGTCAAAGTTCGAAAACATAATTCCAGAGGATCTAAAAACTGGAAAAACACAAAGAATAAAACTCTATTAGATATGCAGAAAAAAATACCAGTATTAAAAGGAGAACCTAAAAAAGTTCAAAAGGTTTCCGTAAGAAAACGAAATGAATATATACAAATGAAAAGTGTGAAACAGTGACAAACAATAAACAACGCAAAATACAAAGATAAAATAAAACCAAACTACACATCAAGAAACCATGAAAACAAACGTCAACATGAAATC